CCCATCTTTCCTCATTCATTTGGAGATTCTGTAGGACCTACTGATTTTACAGGGTCAGAAAGTTGTAGTTCAAAGTTCATGGTGCACTTAAGCAAACATAGCAGGCCTCCAGTGGTAGAGAAAAGATGGATTTGGGAGAAAGCAGTAATAGATTTGGTTTAGATAGGTACAATACATTTATTAAAAGTTTAGGGAAAGTACTGACTTATTTCCTCAGTCAGATCACACTTCAGTTTACACAGAGCTGTTCTCATTTATCCCTAATAATTATCTCTCTCTTTTTTTTTTTTTTTTTTTTTTTTGAAATCTTCAAAGCAGCAGGAAATCAGGTGGTTCCAAGGCTGCCTGTTGGACTAATTTAAATATCAGCTGTCAGAGCTGTGCAAAGCACCAGGAAATAATTGAGATTGGATGGAAATGTGGCCACCTTTAGTCCTGTACCTGTAACAGTCCTTGGCTGTGCTTTAAGTAAATAATACTTTGCCAGGAGGATACAAAGAGAGGTGGTATAAAATTCTGCATTATCAGAATGGAAGGAGATGATCTAGAATGACAGATTCTGGACCACTTATAAACTATGTCTAAAAAGTTTTTCCCTCATAATTTGGGCAGTTTGAAAAAACAAGCAACAAGCAAAAAATCCCTACTTGATGACCTTAGAGGGGATTTAATAACAATTGAGGTAAGCCATGAAAGCTAGAAAACCTAAGATGTGACTGTGGGTGTATATATATATAGAAACCTGTACGATTCTCTTCTCGGCTATTTTGGTGTTTCATTGGTACGTGCACTTCACTGGAGTTATTGCAGATGTGAACTGGGAAAAGAATCCACTGCCAGTAGGCAACAGAAATAACTGTGTGACTTCTATTTGGTTTACCACCAAACTAATATAGTAGACTATTCAGCACAATTAAAAATTATTCTAATCTAAAGTGAGAAATTCCCATTAAAATGTGTTCACAGATTTCATAGGTGTAGCATATTGTGGTAGATCAAGTCCTTTTAAAATTTACCTTACATAAGATCATATTTTGAGGTTTTACTTCCTTAAACTTTGATAGCTTCCAGCTTTTGAAACACTGGATTAATATTGTTTATGCTCTTAGTTTAATGGCCCTGAAGTAGAAATGCTTTGTGAAATATAATAAACTTGTGTGGCCTTTATTAAAAATACTAAAATAACTGTACTGACTGGAATTCTTTTTCCCCCTTCTAAACTCTTGGCTCTCTAGGTTTTCCACTGGGTTTGTAAGTAGGATTGATGGGTTTTGCTGGAGGTTGATAGTACTGTATTGCTAGATAGTTTTGCATTTTTCTTCTAGAGACCTCTTCACAAAGCATCAGCATGGCAGGAATATCTTAAAATAGCACCAGGAGTGGAAACAATGTGACTAAATTGTGAACAAACAGTTCTGGATAGCACATACTTATGGGGAGTTCTTTGTACGCCAGGAAAACCATCTGTATTTGAAAAGAGTTCTGCTGACTTGATTTGCTTTTATATTCCAGGGATCTCTGACAGGGTTGTTACTGTTTGGAAATCTTAAAAGAATTTAAACTGGAAGCCTCCCTGTGTCACTTCAACTGTGTTTTATTGCAGAATATATGGAAGTCTTTTCTTTTTGCACTAGATTTTTTAAAATTTCTTTTTACCACCCACTTCACTATCAAGCTGTAAATGTAAATTCAGGTTTCTTTCTGTCACTGGATATGAGCTAACAAAGTGTCTTAGACAAAGGCATAAACTGAGGACATAGTACTAGATGAGAGTTTGTCACTATGAAGTTAGTGCAAATTTACAGCATATCGTTACTGCCTGTTAATTAACCTTTGGGTTCTACTGGGAAATGAGGGTGCATCTAGTTGGGTAGAATAGATCACCTCTTCTTTTAAAAGAAAGCCCATTGACATAGCTAATTACTCTGTTCTAAATTTACACTTTTCCTTATTTACAGACTAACATGCTTGTGCAGGCTGTGTCTGGAGTGATTTTTGAGCCCTTACTTGTATGATGTGAAGTTCGGTGAATGCAGAGATTCTTGCAGGACAGAGGCCTTGAGTATAGTGTTCATCATAGAAAGACATAGGCTGGTATAATTATAGACAGTTAATTGGACACAATTCTCCTTTAATGGATGTAGGCAGTATAAGAAGTAAGTCTCAGCCAACAAAAAGCTGTCTAGGAAGACATGCCATTATGAAAATTGCTTACCTAGGCAGTTTCCCCGCTGTGTGTTTTGAGATTTGTGCTAGCCACAGGAGTTCTTCCACTAAATTCAGAGTTGCATAAGGGTTATTTAAGCATGTTTGCTTCATCTCAGGAGATATTTGACCTCTGGCAATCAGAGTACGCTCAGTGTGGTAGACCATGGTGGAGAGGATTTTTTAATAAACCAATAATCACAAATGTTAACAGTTTAGTTGGTTTGGATTCCTTAAATGTTTTGCTTCTTGTGTTGTTAGATGTAATTCAAGTTCAATAGGTGCCTCATTACATTCTCTCTAGTAGTGAAAAATCCATTTAACCACCAGAAGTAATTCTAGGTTTCTCTGCTGTAGTTGTAATTCGTTTGTATCTACAGCTTGATCATTCTGTTTTTTAAAATAATTTAATCCATTGTACTGACACAAATTAGTCCATATGCAAAGATCTATAGCTCTTTTTGTTGGCTAAGAATATAGCTCTCCTAAGCAAATTCAGTTATTGCATTTGCATGCTATAGTTTGTTCCATTTACACAATAGCTTTGCCCTACCACTGAGATAGTGAGATGCTTTTGGAATGATGGTAAAAATTTGTACGGTACAGTCAAAAGGATCTTTCAAAAACTTAAGTAGAATTCACATTAATGCAGTAGTTCCTTTCAGCAGATTAGCCAAATACACAGCTATGAATGTAAGAGATTTGTATACCATTAAACTGAATGCTGTTGTTTAGATTGGAGCAGGTACTTTAACAGTTATCCAGCACTTCTCTGTGCAGTCAGGGTAAAGGTGCTCTTGAAAAGTCTGCTCTCTGTGTGTTCTTCACTCTACCTTCTGTTTATGTAAATGCTATAATACTTGCTATCATTCTGTAAGATGTGGCAGTGAAATGGCTAACTTAATTCTGGAATCAGTACCAGTCAGCTTTAAGTGGGCACCCAGCTGTTTGAGTTGGGAAATGGGTTGGGTGGCCGGCATGTGCCACTAGTTCTTTAGCTATGTTAGTCTGATAGGTCTCAGAGGTCTGAAGTGGAGGGGGGATTTTTGGCCTTACTTGACTATGTTTTGATACTTTGATGTGCTTTTGGACTTGAGGTGGGAACCAAGGTTCTTCTGTGACTCTTTCTACACCCAGTAACTTAGTATCTTCATGCTGTACATGGCTTCATGAAAGAGCCCTTGCAGTGAAGGCCTTTTTTTGTGGCATGGTTTGTTCCTGCACAGACTTTTCTTCTTTTAAACCTTGGGTGGAGCTGGTGAAAGACCTTGACTGTACAAAAGCACAAAGGATTTGCTCTTTCTTGAAAATTATTGTCTGTTATGAACCACATTTGTATGGATAAATACCACCCTGTTATGGTTCACAGAAACAAAACTGAGGTGAAAAGTGGTTCTTTATTGTTTTTTTCTGTTGCCTTCTTGTATAAGCTACTACACACATTTGTGTTTGTCTAAGAGAAGTCTTAGTTTTCTCTGAGGAAAGCAGAGAGGAAAATTTAGCCCAGAATTTCTCTGGGCTCCCAGCATGTTTAAATACTCTTGGCAGCAGGATGCCTCTTCTGGCATTGTTCCACCAAAAATCTGCTGTCTAGTAATCTGTTGTAATTCAGTCTGCTTGAAATTGCAGGGAGGATTGTTGAAAGAAGTGCTAAATGTGTGCCACCTGCTCCCATGGTTAGGTGCTGTGAGTGTTCAATATGAGGAAGAAAATGCTATGGAGAGCAGTGTTCACAGAAAGACTAGGATTGGTAGGCAAGCATTCCCCCCGTTCTTTTTTAAATAATGCATGTGTTGAATATTTACATCAGTGTGTCAGTGAAGGGAACCTGTGAGCTTTGGCTCATATCCAGAGCTAAGAAAAAAACCTCATAATGCACTGGAGCAAAATATTGCGTTTTAGTCTGCTCTCCAGCTGAGAATATACCCTCTCTCCCCCTCTCTTCCTCTTTATTTTTTAAAATGTACTTTCTTTTAAGAGAAGGTATACTCTAATTTTTTGATGAATGTAGAACATGTTCCCTCTGATGAACCGGATTCTCTTGAGGGTACATTAGGCTTTTGAAACTCTTCAGCAACAGTAAAGATGGGCTGGGGTCCCCAGCCCTTGTAGAATGTAAGGAAGGCCACAGAACTTTCCTCCACTGAGTGCTTATGAAAGATTACATGCCAAGTCCCTAGAGGAGATACTGCACCTTACTTTGTTAGCAGCACTGTTTTTTTCCCTTAAGAAGGGAACATCTTTGACATGCAGATTTAATGACCATTAGAAGTAAGGCCTTTAAGGTTGAACATTTATGTTGGCAAACTTTTAGTGCGACAGAAATGTTGAACAGCTACATATATCCAGGTTAGCCTGTCCTGATGCATTTGGAATGTTCTTAATTAGATGGGTTCCGAGGGGATGGGGGGAAAAGAATCTGAGTTTAAAATGGAAGTTTAAACAGGAGGAAGAATATTGAAGCAGGGCATTTGGGTCCAGCTCCATTTTGGGGGGGGGGTATAATTAGAATTCTTACTGGGAAGAGGAAGTAAGAGAAGTGACTTTGTAGGTGTGTCATTATTAGCTTGGTGTACAAACAGAACACTTTGTTCCATGCAGTGTATAACAATCACGTTATCTCAGTGAATGCTGGATTTTGCAAATACAATCTAGAGAGCAAAGCCAAGCCAGCCTGCTAAAAGCAGTACCTGCATTCCAGTGGCTAGTGCAGAGCATGTGATGGAAGTTATAACCCAGGTAAAATGTTAATCACTAAACTTGGCACAGCTGAAGCTTTTAATCTTTTATTGCAGTTCTCTAGGGAGAGGCAAGTTATGGACAACAGCCCAGAAAAGCTGAAGAAGGAGTTAGAGGAAGAACTGCAGCTAAGTAGTGAAGATTTGCGTAGCCATGCCTGGTACCATGGACGTATTCCTCGGCAGGTACGTGGTCTTTGCATTGCCAAATGTGTTTTGAGCTTTTTATAGACAAGCAGAATTGCACTAAAGTACTAAACACATCTCTGATATCTGCATTAATTTAGTAGAAGCAATCTTATTTGTGTGCAAGCTATGGTATTTATCATAGCCTGGCATAAAAGGAGGCTGAGGAAGGATTCAGTGCAGACACTGGTGGAAAATATAGATATTTCAGGATCTGTGTGCCTTGGATAAAGGCAGAAATTGAATTTAAGCTCTGTCTGAGAATACTGTTCTCATATCTAGTTCACACACACTGGCATTAATTTGTTTCAGTATTCTTAACCAAAGTTAAAATGTTCTTGTTTATTTTCTTTCTTGCACTTGGAATTTTGGGGAAGGGGAAAAAGAAGAAACAAAACCAAAACAAACAGACAGGAAAATCTATGCAATAACTTAATTTTGATCATTACAAATGTAATAAAAAGTATGTTAAAGTTGTGGTTGGATTGGAGTTTATGTTCCCAGAGCACTGGGAGCTCCCCCTGCGGGCCTCCCTCCTTTGCAGTAGTACCGGCTCTCGCCAGAGCTGCAGGCTGCCCTTCACCTCAGAAAGCAGAGCAGGCTCAGCAGCCATATACACTGCACTGAAGATCAACTGTTAGAGGTGTAGTTTGTCACGTGAAAGGACTAACTCAAAGCAGAAATGCTGGATTTCTCTGACTATTCTTAGCACTATACAGCGCTCGTAAAGAATCAAAAAATTAAAGCTTCTGTCACTTAAGGTAATAATGAAAGGTAGTAATGGCTTCATTGTTTTCCCTTCATGCCTTATTTTCTATTAGCAAACTAGAAGAAATATATATGCAAAAGTGGGTCATGCTTCCGGCTGCTGGACATTTTCAAAGAAGCCCCTCCAGATTTCAGCTGTGGGATGAGCTCTTAATTTTAGAATTGGAGACATCATTCTTCTACCACACCTCATGCTTTGCTTTGCATTTCTGGCTTTTTCTGTCCTCCCAGAGCAGCCAAATTAAGTCATATGTTTAAGAATATTTTGTTGCAATGTGTTGTTTGACTATTTGTTTTCTGATTCTGACGGTAATTTTTTGTATAATTCTTTGTCCTCAAAGGTGGCTGAAGGCCTAGTTCAGAGAGATGGAGATTTTCTGATTAGGGATTCTCTCTCCAGTCCTGGGAACTTTGTTCTTACCTGTCAGTGGAAAAACACTTCTCAGCATTTTAAAATCAACAGAACAGTTCTAAGACTCAATGAAGCTTACTGCCGTGTTCAGTATCAGTTTGAACTTGAAAGTTTCGACAGTATCCCCGGCTTAGTTAGATACTATGTTGGGAATCGCACACCAATATCAAAGCAGAGCGGAGCAATCATTTTTCAGCCTATCAACAGGACTGTGCCTCTCAGGTGTCTAGAAGAAAAGTATGGTGTAACTCCAGTCCGACAAAAAGAGATAAGTATTCCTGAAGGAAAACCAGAAACTGCAAAAAGGCTGAGTCTTGGTATATCCAGCATGCAATCCCTGGAGCAGAGTATACCCAGAGGAAATCTTCTGAGGTACTTTAATTTTGCTGTCCTTATGTAGGGAGATGAAGTAACTCTACCAGCTCTTGCTGTAGGTGATGTGACTTACCACTCTGATTTTAGATGGAAGACTAAGCATGAGGGTTTGCTGGTTTTTAAGAAACGATTTTTTTTTTTTTTTTTTTTTTGCTAAAAATTGGAAAATCCAAAGAGCAAGGGCAAATGTAGACCCTGGAAACACAACAGTGGTGCAACTTGTTCTTCAGTGACTTGGCCAATCTTGACTAGTGTAAGACAAAGGATTAAAATAAAATCATGCTGCTGTTCCAGAGAAGTCTTTCTTTCCGTATTTGACTTCTGCAATAAAAATACCGAGTGTGGGATAATGGATCCTAATTTCAGCATCCAAATAAAATGTTCCATTAAAAAGTCTCAACATTCGAAGAAATACCCTCACAAATGCTGCAGGGTCACACATATTATAGCCCATGTAATTGCTACCACAACAGCATGAAGTACCTTTTATTCTTATAAACCAACCAAGTGGAAAGCTAATGATCCTTGCACTGGTTATGATATATTCTGGCAATTAGGTATGTATGTTAAGACTGTTGGATATATTGATATGGTGGTGTTTGCATTTTTGTTTACCCTAGAAACAAAGAAAAAAGTGGTAGCCAGCCAGCTAGTTTGGATCATGTTCTGGAGAAAAGGTTCCCCTTAAAGGCTCACCAGTCAGAGAGCTATCTGCTAATAGGTATGTTTTGTAAAATGTTTCATACTTAGACTGTGTGTGTGTCCAGGTTGCCTGCCACACTCCAGACCGAAGTGAGGCTGTTGAGTGTTCTGAGTACTGTATATACAGTTATATCTAATGGCCAATATAAGCTGTGTTAGCATGCTACTTGCTCTTTAAGTCATTGGAACAGGTTTTTTATTTACAGTGCACCAGCTACTGGAGTACCTTGGCACACAAAAGATGTGTGCCACACCAAAAAAAATGGCAGCTACAGTTGGCATTGATACCCTTTTTGACACTGTTACCTTCCTCACTTGTGCTTTACAAGAACTGACTTGTTTCACTCGTGTAATTCTGACAGAAGTCTATTAAGTAGAAGTGGTGTTTCACAGAAATCCTGGTGCTTTTTCTCAGGGTAAAGAGTACAGATGTAGTGTTCCTCACCAGGAGAAAAAGACTATCACGGCTTCTGTGCTCAGTTCTGTACTTCCGTCTCTCTCTTCCCACCTCATTCCTTTTGCTGCTGTCTGGTTCCACATCTGTTGTCATTGTGCTACAAGGTGTACCAACACTTGATCAGTTGTTAATTGTGGCATTTTCTTTCTCAGATTCTTCAGAGGTTTAAGCAATTGTTTCCATGCTAACACAGTGTGTGAGGAAGCTTGCAATGATGCATCTGTTCCCATGTGGACAAATTCTAGTATTTGACTTCCAAGGCTGCTAGTCATTTTGAATACAGTAGCTGTTAAAATGTATAGTGCCTATTGTGGAAAGACTTCTTGAGACAAAGATAATGTTAAGTATTTGTATAGTATGATGTATTCTTATAGAAAGGGTGTGCTCCTGTGTTTAACAGTGGGATGGACAGACATTCATAAAACAAGTTTCTGTCCATCTGTAGTTGAACTGATTATCTTATTCTATTCCATGACTGCAAAAACTTTTCTGTTGGTACTGTAACAGTTAACCTGAAGAGTGCTGATGTGCATTTTGTCATAGGGCCCTCTGAGCAGGTTCTGGTATCACGCTGCTTATGAGTGGTGATAGGCTGTGATTTGCAGATTTTGTTGTCTGCATAAATTGAGAGCCAACTTGAAAGCAGCAGTAAAGTCCACATGATGCAACTGGACAAGTTGCTGTAGATACCAGCAAATGCACTGAGAACTGCAGATCGGGAATATCTGATACAGGGTTCAGCCCTACAGTAGATGCTGAGATTTGCATATGCAGTGAGTACAGGATGAGGCATAAATACAAAGTACATGAGTGTGTTTCTCCAACTCTTCAAATCAGCTACTGATTAGGAAAATGATTAGCATCCCTGAAATTCATTCCTTCCATACCTTATTGCAGGTTCAGGCTTGACTTTGGGAAGCTTTTCTTTCATCTCAAACTTGACATTCTCAGAAATGACTCATCTTTTATGTGGTGTGGCTGGAAGTTTCTGTTTTTATAGCCTAGATCAGGTTACAAAGAAACCTCCTATTCCAAGCCATAGAGACTATCCAGCTCTGACGGTATAGCCTATGTATACAGCAGGGGCTGGAATTACTGTCAGCATTACCACAGAATAATATTATGGTGCAGCTGTTTTGTGTATTTGGGATTTTGGGAGGATCAGCAAGTGAATGGAATTTGTTGGCTAGCTCATTCCTCAAAATATGATTTCATATACATTTTTGTCAGCGAATAATTGACATGAGTTGACAATATTTTTCCTTAGGAAACGGCATTAAGAGATGAACCCGGGGACAGGCATCAGGAACTGTGTATGTTTTGGCCTTCTAAAGTACCATTTTCCCCTGCAGGTTCAAGACACCCATCTCGATTACCTGAAGGAGATGCAGACTCCTGCCCAAGCTCTCCTGCGTTTAGAACAGGAAGTGAACCTTCTCTAAGCCCCACAGTTGTTCAGAAAGTCATCTCTGAGTCACAAGTAGGGGAAGCTCTTAGAGGATCAGACAGCCAGCTCTGTCCAAAGCCCCCACCAAAACCCAGCAAAGCACCCCTCATGAAGCCCCCAGATTCTCCTTCGGTTTCCCATAGGTCAGAAGGACACTACTGTGAACTAAGCCCTGCCAGAGATCCTGCTGCAACAAAACAACATTTGTGTCAGAAAAGCAGCTATGTGGAACATCTGTCACAAAAGGAGAGGGGAACCCACTCTTTCAGGAATTCCGAAACAAACTATTTGATCCTGGAAGATGACCCTACAATGAACACTGCAAATTCTTTAGAAGCTTCAACTGAGATGGCTGAAGAAGACAGTATCTTCTCTGCACCTGTTCTTGAGACGGTGTCTAGTTTTAAACCAAATGATTTTGAATCCAGACTACTTCCTCCTGAAAATAAGCCATTGGAAATGTCAATGTTAAGAAGAGTTAAGGAGCTTTTCACCAACAACCAGCCAAAGATTATTGCACAGCATATTCTTAGAATGGACTGCAAGGTAAAAAGAAAAAAAAAAAAAAAGTAAAATAATTTTTTAATATTTTATTTTATATTGTGCAAGTACAGACTTTTTAAGGAGCTGATTTGAAAAGATCAATGGGTAGATTTGCAGATAATTTTATAAATGTATTGACTTGCTTGCAGGCATTTTTAGGGTATTGGTTTGTGGTTTTTTTTTTTCCCAGTTGAAGAACAAGAATGTTTATAAGCTCTTTGGACTAATGGTCTCCCACCATCCTTGACTGTAGACTCAGATTCTCAGTGCTCCATACATCTTTTTAATCTCCTATCAGTTGCTGTATATCTGTGATTCAGCCTTTCAGCTATCTATGCTGTAAACCATTGTGGAAAGAACTACTCGTGACAGGAAATGGCTAGTTAGCTTGCAAGGGCAAACAGTAGACAGGCATTACCTGGTTGTCATACTGCTGGCCATAACAGAAGACGTTCAGTGGAACAAAATTCATTTAAACTTCTACAACTAGCTGCTCTTCTGATCTTTGTCTGAGTCTCTGTCGTGCAGCTGGGTAGGTGGTGTGGGAAGATAGCTATCAGGATTTTTGCGTTTCTCTCCTATGAGAGAACTGTATTGCTAGTGGAATTGTTTAGAATGATGCAAAAACACAACTATTTTTCACAATGTAGACTTTGTTCAGCTGACAGGGCTTGGAGATCAGCTGTTGGATCAGAAAGATGGAAATACAGGTCATGTCCTTATGAGCTGATGACTTTGTGTAATGAAAGAAATGCAACTGCAGTTGAATCTGCACTTTTCTGGGGTGACTGAGTGCTGTACCTGCCACAGAGCAGCTGCAGGAACCAAGTGTCATGGACTTTGCTGGGTTTTAGTTGGTTGGTTGCTGTAAGAGCAGCTTGAGAAGCAACACACATAGCTACGTGGAGAGCAACTCCACTGCAGACAAGGAAGGAAGTGGGAGGGGTGGTGCTCCAGAAGCAGCGTGTCCGTAGCACTCTGCTAGTGCTGCTGCACTGATTCACACCGTGGGTCTGGGAAGGGGGCAGTTCACTGGAGAGCAGCAGTGGGGTGAGGGTGTGAGTGCCTGCCAGCTGCTGGGACCGTGCCAACAGCAAACACAGTTCCTCTCCTCGGTAGCAGTGTTGGCTGCTGCTAAGTGAGGCTTCATGCAGACACAGTGACTCAGAAAAACTTGGCTCCACAACTGCTTGGTCTTTTCAGAAGTGATAGATTGTGGCTTCTTTACTATAGTTCCAAGAGCAGCAACAGCATTCTCTAACATTTTAGTTTCAAAAATCACCTTTTCCTCCTTCAACCTAGGAACAGTAACCAGAATGTCTTTTAATATATTGTTAAAGAGTATGTTGCTTGAAGACATAGGATATGCATGCCTTAGTGAAGTAGTAAGGGGGTTTTAATATATATATATATATATATATATATATAGTATTAAATTAGCTCATTAGTCATCTCCTTATTTTAAATCCTATAAACTTTGGAATGGGGCCAAGGAAACTGGCCTGCTTGGAGGTGCGGGACCCTGTACAGTTAATTAAGAGTCACTGGAGTGTTTTAGAGAGAGAAATTTTTTGGATTTTGGAGAAGGAACAATAACTAGCTGGGACACGCAAAGAAGTCTATGTTATCTTCATCTCACAGTGCTGAGAGGCACTGACTGTCATTCATTGGTAACTTGTCGCATACTACTGCGCTGGTAAGAACTACATGAAACAATGAGATTGGCACGTGAACAGGGCCAGAATAAATGCTTTGTACTGAGATCTGTGATAAGGCTGAAGTTCGTAGGTCTCGTGCCATCAGTAGCTCAGTTTGCCTTTTAAATAATGACATTTCTAATAATGAAAGCAGTGCCCACATGGTAAGTGATGGGAGTGAGTATCTGACACTTGCATGCCTGAGAGGGCTTTTTGTGAAGGAGTAGCAATCAGTGTGTCTCCCAGGGCTTCATATCACTCTGCGTCTCTAGAAGTGAAACAGGTTTCTCTGCAGTGCTAGATCGTGTACCAGTGAGGCTTGCTGTGTGGCCCAGATTGCTTTCATCTTTTCATAACCAAGAGAGCCTGCTGATGGGTGTATCAGAAGTAGCAGGCAGATTGGTTTGTAAATGTGTCAACATACAGGCCTTAAAACAGCAGATAATCTCACATTATCATATTAATGTGGTTTTGCTTGTAATTAGCATATATAATTGTTATTGATATAACTGGTAGCTAATACTGTATGTTTAAAAGGCAGAGACAAATTGTTTGGGGTGTCAGCTTTCACACACTGACTTCATTAGGCACTCAACACTCAGTGTCCTCCATAAAGTCCTCTTACTCATTAATCCTTATGAGGAGCCTGTGGTGTAACCCAAAAACATTCTGAGCAGTGATCTTTTTAGAAATGAAGGCGGTGAAGCGAATGTGTACATCTTCAAGGCCAAAGAGCAGTGCCACCCTGACAAGGATCAGGCCAAGAGAGCAGCCTATTTCCAGGAGTTTGTGTATGAATCTCCTTCTGGAAATGGGCAACAGACATGTGAAGTATTTTGGTCACACCTCTCATGTTTTCTGATGGCTGAATCATGAAAAAATAAGATTTTATTGGTCTTCTTGTGCAATGCACTAAATGTGCATAAGTTAAGTTTTTCTTGGATTACTGTATTCTAATGTTGCATGCTGTGGATTTAGCTCTGTATGCCCTGCAGTAACCTGGAGGACTTCTACGTGGCTAAGGATTTTTTGAAGTAAGTTAGTTTCAAAACTCATGCACAAATTTTTGCACTTGACAGGTGGTGAGGATACTAGATGTTTCTGAAGAGATGAGGAGGATTATGGGTGTGAACTCTGGTCTTGAACTGATTACTTTGCCTTACGGACATCAACTGCGCCTTGACCTAATTGAAAGGTAAATGTTCCTGTTACTCATTTCCAGGGCAGGGGGCCAGAAGATCAGATCATTGCTACATTGTACTCTATGTTTCCTCAAAGAATGCTCTCCTGCACATTTTCTGAATTCTTGTGTACAGAAGGTATTTTAATGAGATGGCATGTAACTTCTTTTTGCAGAGGGAGAAGTTCCTTAAGGTCATAGGGCAACACCATGCATGTAATACAGGGAAAGAGGAATTGTACTGAGAGCAGGGTCCTGAGAGCTGCTGAACACCCTGAGCTCTCCTTCAAGAGCTCTGGTAAACTAAAGTCCAGCGGACGTATACTCTAGCTGAGCTTGTAAGTGTTTGTGAAAGACATGGAAGGTGGTGGTAGTCTCCTGCAACTGGGAAAAGGAGTAAAAAATGACCAGCAAAGCTTTCTGTAAAACCTCTGCACAAGGGGAGAACAATTAGGGTCTTCTATCCCTGATGTAGCTTTTCTGCCTCCCCAATTCAGATTTCAGTAGTTTGGCTGCTGAAATTTAGGGGGAAGGTCCCAGGATTTGAGTGTGGAAGACAAGGGGAATTGGGGCAATTTTCCTGAAAGTGTTCGTTCATTCATTCATTGCTTGAGCAAAATTTTGTATAATAGTAATAGCTTATATTTATTACAACAAAAATTCAAAGCCAATGTATATATATTACCTATAATGGCATTACTGCTCTTGCTTACCAGCAAAAATGTTGGTAAGTTTGCTGGACACACCAAGATATTGAAATGTAGCTTTGAATTGATCTTCTCTGAACATATGTACAGCATAATGTATTATTAATTTAATAATTTGTAACCAGTAGTGTAAATTGTTTCACTTATAGGCACAATACCATGGCAATTGGAATAGCTGTGGATATCCTGGGTTGTACAGGAAATCTAGAAGATAGAGCAGCAACATTAAACAGGATCATCCAAGTCGCAGTGGAGCTGAAAGACTCACTGGGAGATTTGTATGCATTTTCTGCCATTATGAAAGCACTTGAAATGCCACAGGTACAGATCTGCTTCCCTTTATGTTCCAAAACATGGAGTTGTTCGCTGGTTTATTTAAGTTATGCAATTTCTTCAAGACTAGAGGTATCATCAGAACAGAAACTTTGTCACTAGCAGGGCATTTTTCCTGTGAATTGCTATAGAGTCAATAATGAGTATTCTCTATTTTGTATGAACAGGTCACTAGGTTAGAACAAACCTGGACCTCTCTAAGACATCATTATACCCAGACTGCCATTATGTATGAAAAACAGCTGAAGCCATTTAGCAAAGCTCTGCATGAAGGACAAGAAGAGTGGAATAGTGAGTATGAGTGACACTGGTTTCTATTTAGCCTTTTAACTCTCTCACTACTGGTGGCAGGGGATGAGGCAGCTGCTGGTTCTGATAGCTGTGCACTGTATGCGAACTTGTGTGACGCAGTAGAAGACATTGAAATAGAAGAAACAGTCTGCCAGCCAAACATCAGTACGTGCATGCGTGTAGCCATGCTGAACGTAACATTCTGCCCAAACGCACACTCCCTCGGTGTGGAGCAGAAACTGAAACACTGCATCATCTTGCCTCAAGGACAGGAAAAGATCTCTTCACTTCTGGCAGATTTTGCTTTTTATTTGCTTTGCCTCTAGCCCCACAGAATTTATTGGAATGACCCAGATTTTAAATCTGTTTAAAATCTCTGTGCCACCGTCTAGTAAGTCACCAGAGCCTTCTCCTGTAGCAAATACAGTTTTCCCACACTAATTTGTCTTGGCCTTCTCCCCCAACCAGTTCACTGGAAACTGGTAGGACAGGTGTTTTGAGGTAAGGTGTTAATTTGAAAGATGGAAGACAAACAGTAGTTTCCAACTTTGAAAAAAATACTGCATTTACAATACCTCCTTCAATTAGCAGGTTTTGTAATGTCTGACAATGTGATGTTTGTTATTCTCTATCCCAGAGACTCTCAGTGCTCCACAGAACAACGTGACAGTGCCACTGCTGATGCCTCTCATTACCTTGATGGAACGACAGGCTGTTGTTTTTGAAGGCGTGGACCTGTGGGAAAGCAGTGACCAAAGCTGCGAAATAATGCTGAAGCACTTGGCCACAGCTCGTCAGATAGCGCAGAATGCAGAAATGTACAGCTTGACTGCAGAACGGATGCTGGAAGGTAGGGAGCACAAACTGCTGTGAAATAACAGAATTTGTGGCTCATGTCTGAAGAAGGTGGTTTCTGCCCAAGTGTCACTAAAAGTCAGTGCAAGGAATTCTTTCCTTCTTTCATGAGAGCTGAGACAGTAGCAAATGTCCTGCAGGAACATCAGTCTAAGGACATCATCACTGTTATTTAAAAGTAGACAGTAAATTATTCATTACTCTAGTTCTCCAGTAAGCAACAGAGCATACATTTTTGCTAAACACACTCAAAAGTTCTCGTGATTTAATATGCTGACCCTTCTAACAACTAAATAGAAGTGCAGTAAGGACCAAGGATAACTTCTGGTCTTCTGTACAGTTTAGAATTCCTACTCTGATGTTTTTTTGAATAAAACACCACCCATCATAAGGTAAGATGATCCTTTACAGCAGTGCGAGATGCAACACTTCACTGCTTGCAGCCAGAAAGCTACATAGTTAAAGGAAGGGAGAGAAAAGTATTTTTGCAGGCAGCATGTGTACATCAGTAATTGTATTTAAGGTCAGGCTATAATGACAATTCTAGACCATTGTAACTGAGCAAAGGGTAGTCTGTCCCAGTGGCCCTAGAGCCTTTTGTGTGCCACTAGAATGTCACAGATGGAAAGGATTTTCACTGTTTTACTAGCTTGTTAAAATCACTGTGCCAAAGGAACCCAGCACACTAAAGCTTATCTTGTTTGGAGGGAATACAATTTAAAAGCCCTTTCTTCTGAATAAAAATTTGCCTGATGGTGATACTGTGGAATTCTTCTTACTAGGTTTCCAGCCAGATGAAGAGATGAGTGAAATCTTCAAGACAGAATTTCAAATGAGATTGCTTTGGGGCAGCAAAGGAGCACAAGTTAATCAAAATGAAAGATATGAGAAATTCAGCCAGATTTTAACTGCACTTTCCCGAAAACTGGAACCTCCTCCTGTGAAACACGTGGAACAATTAAGTATATAAGACGCTGTAAACACTGTTTTAATGATATACTTGAAATAACCTTAGCTTTCTTTTGGCAGTTGGATACTGCAAACGTCTTGCTTAGTTCTTGTTTAGAACTTTTAGCTGCACAATGCACACTTGTTTTAAAACTACTGATTTCTACACCAATTATTTATTTACTATGTCACCGAGTCATTTAATAATCCCTTTAAATTTAGGTTATCTCTGTAAGATAGTTTTTCAGCTTCCTCTATTTCCACAGAGTCGCAATGTTTTGATAATGCCTAGAAGTGCAGGCATTGGCATCTTAATACTAAAATGAAGCAAATAGTGTAAATAAAACAATAGATTAAGTATGTGACATGGTAGATAATTTGTTGTATAGTATTTCTTTAATGAATATAAAACACTGTACATAGAAGTGTGAATTAAAATGTATCTTTATGCAAAATAATCTGCATAGTTGCAAATTGCAGAAACTGCAGGTTGCAGAAATGATTTCGTACCTGTGACCACAACAGAAGGCTCAAATATCACTGCACCTATGAAAGTAGGAAATAGTTGTACGTGTGTTGGGACAACTTCTTTTTTTCAAGACAGCATCTGTAGTACTTTGGCTTATGCTGAAGCATGAAAAACAGCTATGCTGCCAGGAATGAATAATGAAATGGCAAGAAAAAACAATGCAGATAATTAAAATGCTTTCAGCTAGGAGTAAATGTGGGTGTACGTATGTATCGAGCTTGCTTCATTTACTGAGGTGAATCACTTGGGTAAGTAGTATTTTTTTTTCCTTGGATGAGGGGGCAAAGCATAAGTTGTTAGCACTTTCCGTAGGAAATCAGTGTGCATGGTTTTTATATGAAGAGTGCTTTAGCAGCAAATTCTACTTTGTCACATACAGAATTTGTGTATAAGCATTATCCTCAGGAGTTGTATAAATACTGAGACAAGAACGATGGTTAGAGCTGCATATGCTTGTTGTCACTGAGCCTAGTTCTGGCGTGAGATGTTAGTTACAGCATCTGAAAGTACTTGACTAGTCTAACAACACAACCCCCACCCAAAGGGCATTTTCTGTTCTCCCCATCTACGCTGAGAGCAGAGGTTCTAGCACCCTAAGGAGAGGTGGTGAGACACCTCATGCTGGAAAATCTCCCTGTCAATCTTAACAGAAGACAAAGGGGGAAGCTAGCGATTTAGACCATGAAAAGATTTTTTTTTTATTCCATGAAAATATTCTCAACAGAGAACACTATTTTTAAACAAAGCATTTAACATTTAGGAAATCAACATGTGCACAAAAAAGGATTAAAAATTACTGGAAAATGTAAGATTCTTTAAGACAAGTCACGTTCAGAATTTTAGAATTAAGTGATTTATAACTAGCTGTGCAAGTACAAATGTGTTTTTCCTATGTTTAATAACACTCATACAAGTTGCACTATCCCTCATGAAAGCAACCTGCCTCCGAAGGAAGCAAATCCTGGTTTTAAAAAACAAACAGTAGCATGGAAGGAACATTTAGTCCTTTACCAGGAAGTGTTATTACTGACCTGCAAGGCTGTTAAGCCAGGCAAACTACAGGCCCTTTAGCAGAAAATACACAGATCACATTTCCTCCTTTTCTCTAACTTCAAAATAAAAAACCCACTAGTTTTAAAAAAACAAAACAAAATGAAAAACCAACCAAAAACCCCCCAACAAACCCCCCCAAAACTCCAAACCCAAAAAACTACCTAAGTAGTTTTGTCAGTATTGAGTAATGTCACATTATTATATAAATAACCCTGTATACAAGCTCCAAAAATCTAAACTTTAGAGTTTAATAGCCCCCATAATACACTAGGTCAAGCTGTGTAATAGTGGTATACATAACAAAAGGAAAAAACCTCTACACCAATCACTCAGGTTCAGTTTTACTGGTAGTACAGTTCCTAATAACACTGAAATTAAAAAGAAGCCAGCACTGCTGCATCCAGATATTGCTTCAGACCCCAGAAAAACAGGATGTTTTGATTATTATTTCATTTCCCCAAACAGCAGGTGGCTGGGTTGACAAGCTTGCTTTGATACAAGTATCCCTCCCCCCAACAGCTCTAGTCTAATTCTTATCACCCTAGTAAAATCAGATATGACGTATTTATTAATAGAACCACAAATGGGAGGCAAGACAACATAAGCAATAGGGGCACTGCAGACAACTATATTTACACGTATAAACATATCCAAATTTCAATTGTTTACAAGTAAAAGTGCACATAGATCATTACGAAGTATCACTCAAATTTCAACTGGTCCATACAATGAAGCATAACCTGGAAATGGACTAGCACTGCAGTAATTAAAATTGGAACTTCATAGTGAAAAACTAAAAGATAAGTTTCCATAAAAATATTCTAAAAAAATATTGAAGTCAAATGAGGAGATACACGTTTCAATGTATAAAATTCATGGTGCACCATGTATCCAGTAAAGTAGAGCTCTAGAAAACACCTACCGTGGCTACCTCAGCGGCTGCAGCACTGCGAAAAGAGCTGAGACACAAAGCCCTTTGTGGGATACTGTAAGTGGTAGTGTTGGCAAACAACAGATTTAGGCACTCTAGTTTAAGGCAGCATTTGAATGGCAAGTGGTTGACTTCTGACAACAGTCGTTATCTTGCAGTGGTGAATCTCTCTGGTGGTGTTCCAGGTTTTCAGTGTGCACAGGAGGTTACTGAAGTGCTGAAGATGGACCACAGTTCTAGGAGTTTATCTTGACTGCATTGTACGCTAGAGCCGAGATGTATTATTTCCCCAAATCAACACAAATACATTATGGTCTCTTATCAGTTATGCCAAAAACTGGAATGTAATGATGGTTGCAGTGGTATAGTTATAGCAGCATACATGGATACTGGGATGAAACTCTAGTGCTGAAGATCTTTAAAGAAAACGATTTGTTACAAAATAAGACAAGCAATGATGGCAAAGTGTTACGCAGACATGCCTGACTGTCCTAGGCATGCAGGAGGAGGTTAACTGTGAGCATGGAGGTGGCACAGGCGGACTGATAACCTACAGATGGCTCTAAATTACCACCACTAAAATGAGATGGAAAAGAGTATAATTGAGATAACCAAAACAGCACAAACTAAAATATAGTTTGTGCATCTGAGACAACCAAGGACAATGAAAACAAAGCAGTTTTAGGAGCAGTAGCCTTTTTGCTCTGGTAATGGAAGTCTATTTTCCTGCACAAATTGAAGAATTTGTAATACATCCTTACCTAGGTATGGAGATGCTAAGATGTTAGTGACTAAATGTATGTCTGCATGCATTCATGCAACTAGCTTTTCCCCTTGGGCCTCCCAGTCTAGTACACCCACCCCACCCCCCTCCCACCAGCAGCTGCATGTAACCTCCTTCAAGATCTCGCCCATTTTCTCAGAAACCCGCTTCAGGAACCTGCAGTCCAAGAGGAAAAAGAAAAGAACAAAGTTACTGAAGGCCTTTAGCAGACAGAGAAGCGTGCTCAGTTCTAACAGGCCGTTCTCAGTGGCTTCGTACTAGCCTTGTACTTAATTCCACAAACTCTCATTAGAAATATGAGCCACAGCATTTTGGGGTTGTTTGGGTTTTTTTCCTAGTAATCAAGTATTGCAATGCAGTTTCCAGTCCTCAGTGATTTAACAGTGAGGGCAATTACTGTACATTTAAGACCTTGATTTCAAACTAAACATAATGCAATTCAAAGACTTCGCTTACAGGCACAGATTAAGAATATAAAATCATTCCCTTTTCAGGAGGAGAAAGAGAGTTCAGTAGGACATCAAGATTACATGGGGTCTCTTTTTAACTCTAACTAGAGTTAAAACAATGAAGTTGTGTCTAATACACAGCATTCTACATCACAAGTACTGAAAAGGAAGGAGTCAGGTCACTGGACTTTCTGTCCTTCTTAGTCAAAATGTTTTTTCCTGAGTATTTTTGTTGAGCTTTCAGCATCAGACAACATTTTCCTGTTTAAGAAGTGAAAGCTGCCAAGTATATGCTAAGGAAGGAAATTCATCATTTTCAGTAACTGAGTTCAGTTAGTTATTAGAGGGAAAAACCCTCTTTTAAGCATATAGTTTTAAGTCATAAAAGTGGGAACAGTAAATATTAAGAGATCTTTAAGTAATTTTTCAGTTCTCTATAAAAAAAAGTATTCTATAGGACAAGCAAGAATCCTGGTCGTCTTCAGTTTAATAGCTGATTTGGATTTAGTACTTTGTAAAGCAGGAGCACTAGATCAGCTAAACAAAGCAGAAGACATTGGTGAAAATTGCAGACCACTGTAAGATGCATAATTTATTGTGGTCATCTCTGAAAAAAAAAATACAACAAACTCCCATTGCAAACCATTGCTGGCTTCTGATATTCTAATGCTTTCCATGAAATTGTGTGACTTACTATTTTTCCACTATTTTCCCTGGAATGTACAACTGAAAGCTGCCAGTTTACTGTTAGATATAGGTTACTGCACCTTTGCTGTTTTTCTCTAGCGTTACATCTATATATGATGTTGGCACATATCCTTCCTCTCCATTATGTCTTCGAGCTCTGGTCCACCCATCTCCTTTGTCCTCCTCAATAATGTACAGAATTTCCCCTTCTTTCATTGCTAGAGTGCCTTCGTTATGACCTGGCAAGTACAAGAGGCAAAGAAGTTTCAATGTTCAGACAGAATTTCAAATCATCTTTTTCCCAGGGCATAGTTTCCAGATTATATATAAACAGGAAGAACCAAAAATCTGTGCAAGAGAACATACGGTCAAACAGGCTTACAGACAAAAACCTAATCCAATTTGTAAAGATGAATATTTGCCAATAGCTGTGCTAATATTTATCTTAAAACAGCACAGAAATACTGCTCATGAATTAAAGTGATTTATAAAATATTTCCACAGATCTTATAAGCAACTAGTTGCTCATACAGTTAATTTACTTTAAATCATTTTACCTGTCTTCTCTGTAACATCATCCATGCCCTACAGTCAAGGAATAATAGTGCACAATGTTAACCTTACCATCGAACGGATATATTGCCTTGCAATGTCCTATAGCTGGTAATGGATCGTCATCTTCAAACTCATCATCAAACTCACTGGGATGTGCATGCTGTTGGGGTGGGCCGCGAACTTCCTGGTTGGCATCATCCGTGTAACTCCCCTCAGGGCTACAACGCAAGGATTGAGCGTGAGGACTCTCAGAGCTCTTGGCTCTACACCTCAGAACATCGCAGGTGCATCACAGAAAGGGCAGAGGCAGACCCTGGGAATGCCTGTTAGCAGTTTTTGTAGTTACTGCTGGGGGTGATTTTCTGAAAATACTCATCTAAGGTTTGGACTGAATTCTGCTACTAAAACAAACATAAATTTGACACACCTGTCTCTACAGAACATGGAAAACTGGTGAGCTGTATGCAATGGAATAAGATAGCTTTAAAAGGCACTGCTATTTAATGGGTGGGTGTTTCGATTAGACTACTTTTTAGTATTACTATAATAACACAAGGTGACCTTTAGGATTCAGAACCAGCAAGATTTTCCTTTAGAAAGACATCAACTTTCAGAGGGTAAGTAACAATCATCACCTATCGTTAACTATCAAAGAGATGCACAGATTCTCACGTAAGATATAAAAGCAGTAGAGACAGAATATAGTGACCTCTCTCTGCCCTGTGTTACGAGGTGGTTGATATCACTGCTGTGCCGCCTGTCGCTTCTGGCTGCTACTTTACCTTCAACTTCAGAGAGCCAAGCCTTAGGGGGAAAAAAGACAGATATTGGTGTCAAGGAAAACTTGATTCTAAACCAGCAACTACCATTTAACAAATGCACTTAACTGCATCTGGCCTGTCAGTCAGTACACAGCCACCCAGAGACTGCATTCACGGGTGAAGGCTCAATTATTTTGCATGAACCTATTCCTCATACTAGTCTTAAGGAGGAAAGCAAGCCTTAATCACATGTATTTTCAAATAAGTGATTAATAAGGAATTCTTCTAAACAGTTTAGATCTTTAATAATGTACCATCCTTATTCTAGGTAGATGAACATACTTGAAAATATAGCACCCCACAAGAAAACTCTATCAGGAGTGCTTTCAAATAGTTTTTCTGGGTGCTATATTTATAACCCATAAGACCAACTAACCACCCGTTTACATTTTCCAAGAAATTGTTTTAGATTCCAACCTCATTCTTGTGTATATCCATCCGAAGACGGTCCATGTTGCTCATAGTCTCAGTTAATTTTGGTTGCAAACTGCCTGGATCACCCATCTGGGGATTTTTTTCATAAACATCCTTCATCTTGATGAGGGCATCTCTAAAAACATACAAAACCCGACAATAATTACAAAAACTGCATACATCAGTAAAGACTGATCAAAGCTAAAGTAATAGTTTATGAGATCCTGACCCATGATTAGATACTAAGCACAGACATGAGGAACTGCTGCTCCCCACACCACGCCTAAATCCTTTTCCCATTCTGTCATCTTAACCCTTGGCCTTCCTTTCCCGTGTCGTGCACCGGCACACAAGGACTCCAGCTGTGGCCTGTTCTCTATCTAGTATCAATGCTGTATTGTTTGTTACACATATTTTCCTATATACGAATAATATTATTTTCTTAATGCACTAAGTTGTAGCTCTCTTGCTCAACAGACCTATGCACTGATTGCTTTTTTTTTTAGTGCACGCTTTCAGATCCAGTGTTTCCTGTGAAACGTTAGGATGAAAACAAGTATTACAGTAAAGCCCAAGGAGCAACGCTAACAGAACCTACATACAATAAACCATGAACAAAAAAATGCTTTGCAATAGCCTGGACTAGTATATTGTCTCCTAGCTTCTGAGCACCGCTGGCTTAGGTACAGGACTTCAAAAGAAACAGAGAGAACGATGACAAAACTCCAAAAAGCGCATTCACTTTTGGTCTGTTTCCTTCTGTAGCTCTCTGTTAAGTTCATCGATTCTCTGTTGCAGTTTCTTGCGTCTCTGTTCTGGAGGCAGATGGCTGAAGTCTTCCAGTGCAGGGCCCTGCAAGTAGAAATACCATTACACAAGTAGCACACACGGATCAGGACAGCTGAACTGACATACCCACACACGGACAGTGTTCACTGGAAGCAGGATGGACCTCCTTAAAAACTCTATTTGACACACAGCTCTACAGAGGACCGCAACAGAATAAATGCACGTTCTTGCTGCCAGATCGTAGTCATTCGTTCAAGGTTCTTTCTGCCTTCTGTAACAGTTGGCTCACAGATGTAATGCAAAATTTGTAGACTTCACTATTTCTCTGAAAAGCTGAGCCATATATCTCCTATTATATCCACTGCACTTAAAGCAAATTTAGAAAGGACAAAATGAATTACTACAGAGTAATTTCAGTCAGAACAAAAATCCCAGGTGTTTATATAGTAATAACATGTATGTAATTGATTCTTTCTCTGAACTGTGTGTTCTATGGCAATTTGGATGCTATCAGAAGAAAAATACTCTGTTTTGGATCTTCACTCCAAAGTACTGTTATAGTTCCCTTCTGGACATTCAGTGATCTTGCTAGAAAATATATTAAAACTTACAAAGTTCTGATGCATTTTTACCTCGAGTAAAACTAGTTCATGGAGCACAGAAAAAGCCTTTGCAACATCAAACTTTTGACTTAAATTTGTTAATCTGAATTAAAACTTGCTCAAATACTCCAGGTTACCTTTTTCATTATAAAAAATACTGTTTTGGGGAGGGAAAAAGTCTCTTACTTTCCAAACTTTTTTATTTAAATTATTATTATTAAAAAAAAAATCTATAATAACCTAAGACCACCTATTGTTACGAGCCCAAACCTGCAAAGGTTCGTTTGCAAACTTGTGCCAAGATTATGAACAGGACAGAAGGACTTGGGTGTGAAGAGCATGGGAAAAAATTTTTACATATCTTAAGAGTTTGTTGTTTGTTAAAACTCTACCCCCCTCGTTAAGAAGGAAATATGGTACATCTCTCAGCTTCAGAAAGTTAAGTTCCATTATTTGTGTCCTAGTTTCCTAAGAAAGTTGGTTTTAGCACAAGAAACCCTCGTGGCATTACAGTAAACCTCCATGGAGGCAAACCGAACTGGACAGCATTTCTTTTGTCAAGAATAAACTTGACTGTTGAGATTTTGACACAAGCAGCCTTAGGCTCAGGTGCCAAGCTTCTAATACAATCTCTTAGGATGATCCTGCCCCTCAAATTATTGGTTTTTTTGCACTTGTAAAAACATAATCTCAATGCTTTCTAAGAAGGGAATGCAAAACATCATAAAAGGATGGAAATCAAGATACAATGTTTCCAAAATAAAAGCAGAAGTGTTTCTTTCTGGAGGAAAAAAATAATTAAAATCCCTTCAGGTGCTTTTACACACTACAAAGAAACAAAAGGACGAACACTTCTTCCACATCATTTTTCCTTACAAGTCAGTTAAAACAGAGCATCCTACAGCAATAATCAGAAGAACAGAGGTCTTTTTGTGGATCTTTACTGATTTACACTGCAAAACAACAATACAAGACGTGGTTTTCGTTTAATGTAACAGCTTTCTAATATTCCTAGACATAAAGGATCATTCCCCTGCAATTTTTTTGCTAAATTCAAAGGAGTTAATTTTGCAGTATTCAATATTTTTCCTTTACACAAGTTTTGTAATCTCTTAATATACCTATTTTATGCTGCTTTAACAATTTTCCTGACAAAATGAAACCACCAAGTATTTCCATCAGAAATACTGGTCAACCCTAAAATTCCAAAGTCACTGATTTAGTTGCAGCCAGATCACAAGTCTAATTATCTGACATTAAGCATGGATGATTAAGACTGTGTATATGAGTGGAAAATCTGAAGATGTATTTGAGCACCTGACTCAAAGCAGTTATGATATGGAAACACTTTCAAAAGATTACTTTCATGCTATCTTAGCAGAAGTACAGCAGACAGATCAGCACACGGGCTTACCATCTTCACCGACCACTGCACAGTTCATTCGAAAACAGAAAGAAACGGGAAATTACTCACATGCAACGACCAGTTACAAAAAATGATTAATGCCTAGAAACGTATCTTTAAAATATTACGTAAGGATTAAAATTTTAATTTACAAAAAAAAGACATTTTACTATGAGCAGAAGAAAAAAAAAATACAATCGGCAGAAAATCACTTCTGCATTACAAAATTACGTGGTGATAACGGATAGTTTAATTCATTAAATTCTAACACACAACTTCATTAGCTACTTCTGATTTTTAGTGTTTTGAATAATATGCTAAAGAACTATCGTAGGAGAAGAAACAAACACACAGCCAACATTGCACAAAATAGCAGAATTGGATGATGATGAAGGACTGGTCAGCCATATGCAAAATAACTTGTTAGTTATAGCTAACAATCCACTACCATCACTTTTACAGACGTAATTTTTACAATGCATTTACTTTATTATCACAGTACAACTACAATAAACAAAAATTTTTCTGAAGCTTAGAAGTCAGTAATTTTACTTTCTGAAAACAGCACTTGGGTCATATCCTAGAAAGAGTTATAGTCCAAATAAAAGTATTTGCAGAGTAAAGACTTTATCCTTAGAGGAAGCAAATGAAACATGGGATGCCAGGTGTCGTATCTTGGGTTTAACATTCACAGGATTCTGAGGAGCTACGATGCTGTCAATGACTTTGGAGAACCCTTTCCAGAGAAAGGCCGAGCAACTTAAAAGATGTGTATTTCTGACATCATTTATGACCCTCAGCAAGCGTTAAGGCTATTTATTGAGTGGGGCACACACAAAATTGGAGCTTCAAGCAATGAGGAAAGTAAAGCACCTTCACAAAGGATACTTTGGTAGAACCCTCAATAAAGTCCAAAGACCTAAAATGGCTACAGATTAAACTACTTCTTCCCTTTAGAAAAAGTCTTCCAAGAAAACACAAGTAAGGTTTACGTATCGCTGTTAATGATGCAGCTGTTTACATATCAAGTGGTATTGAGCCAAGACTAGCATAAGCACTAACAGCAGTACTAATAAAGCAAGTTACACTTGTTTACACTTAGAGACCTTTTCCAACAACCTATTCTACAGCTACTGTTTGCTTGCTTTCGCTGTACATCACAACAGGAAAACTAACGGAAAAAGCACAGATTGAGGGCAGTCTCGTTCTATGATCTCCAGTGCCTTGAATGAAATCTTGTTCAGGGTACATTAAACAGAACAGCCAGTATGCTTACTGTCTCATATATGCCAACTCACGGATAAACATCGGTAGAGCAGAAGCGAATTACCATGTGGTAGTTCTGCATGTCAATACCACTTGGACATCCTTTTCCAACAACAAAACTAGAAAACAGCATCGTGTACTAGCAACTATTAAGCACTGAGTCAAGATATATTATACAGATCCTTGCTACTTTTATGGAATACTATTCTATATTAATTCCATTTTACAACACGAACAATTAATTGTAAGAATAAACAAAATAAATATATGGTTTCATTTTTCATTAGCATTCTGTAGTTGCTAGGAGATGATATTTTGCTTCAGTAAGAGGTTCTAGAACTACCAACATTACAAGGTGTTGATTTATAAGTCAGGAGTCAATATCTCTAAAGATCAACAAAAAGGAGGTGTAGTCAAGACCTGTGCCATTTCAACAACTATCTAATCCAGTTAGTTCCTCACCGAGTACTAAAGAAGGAACATTACCTTCATGACCAGAAGAAATACGATATAAGTGACTCAGAAGGGGAAAGGATAAACTGTCCTCCATAAATACTCAGAGGACCACAAGGATTTCCTAAAAAAGGGTGGTGGTAGGAAGGGTATTTCCAAGATATCTGGGGGCCTGAAATAAAATGCCACAACATGACTTAAAGATAAGCAAAGTGAGTTTTAAGTATAACTCACTGTATTTCATAATGACAGCAAGGGAGCCTCTAAATTATAACTTTACTGCAACGTAACATTATTGTAATTGATTTCCACATTATGTCAACAGTAGCGAACCATTCTTGATGTACATGAGACAGCAAGACAGTACTGTTTTCAAATATCAGAAAATCATGAATTATATATAATCAAATGCATCCAATTATCTCATTATTTGGATCAATAAATATCATAAAACGTACATAAACAGGGCAGCTTATGCTTCCCTGACGTAACAGGAAAGTGCCAGTATATTTATCACTAGTACTATAAATGTTGCTAGGAAACCACTTAACATTTCCCTTTCATTGTCTTCCAAGCAAATTCTATTTGCAGAATATGCCACTATAAATTAGTAACTGAATTAATAAAGCTCAGAAGGTAGCATTTGGTAGTATTTTTTTCAATGATTTTACCCAAAAGAACCTTGGACAAACAAGAACAATTTATTAATCAGAGAATTAATTAAAATTGTAATGTTTCAAAAATCAGGATTTCAAAATCTGCAAGCACCATGTGCTGTAGCATTTGACATACAAAAGAAATGAAATTTCTCCCTTCTTAGTTCAACGTCTCATAATCAACTACTACTAATTCAATTAAAAGTCAGCAGAGACAACGTCTGATCTGTCAGATGTTTTTTGTGGTGACTTTATACCCAATGATAAATTACTGCAAAAATATGTCACATGATGGTAGGAAAACATTTGTGAATGTGAACAACAATGAAGAAAGGTATCAAACACATGCTGAGCACCCTCTTTATAACACCTTTCTTTTAGGCACAAGTATTTGAAATATGATAAAGAGTATTTTATTTTTTTTTAAAGAACCTGTTGGTAACTTCTGTTTTGTATGAGACAAAGCATCCTAAAAGTGACCTTATCGCTGAACTGTTACTTTTAACAAAGTAAGCCTTATAATGAGGGTGAAGAGCATTAGAAAAGCCACATCACAACCACACTGTTCATAGCCCATCATGCATTTCAACTCATTATCAAACTTACCCCTCTTTTGAGGCTTCTGAAAGAAGGAATTCTGGGCTTCCCTGTTTTTATGTCACTCATGCAATAATGCACTGGTTCAATGGAGAATATGGGGTACTGGGACCCATTAGGAGTACTGGATGTGTATAAACTAGTAGGGGTTAGGGGTGGGGATTGTGGCTAATGTGGAAATAAAGAAAGCAATAAATAAGCCAAATGTTCAAAGTGATTTTAAAATGAAAATTTTGTCTTACAAAAATAAAATTTCCATCCAACACAGAAACAGCTTGTAATGTTCCAGGCATTTACACTCTAACGGTATTGGTTTTAAAAGGTTTCTGCAATGAATTAAACTTCAGAGTTACAGGTTGGTGCAGAGAACGAAGGAATATTCAAAAAAGCTTTAGACTCAACACTTCCACAAGATCCTAACAAGATACTGAAGTTGCCTGTCTCTTTTCTTAAAGCAGGAAGTTCTGCTTTTCCCACCTTTAGTTCCAGCCATTCTGGAAGCTTGTGCATTCCTGCTCACTGTTTCTTCCTACATTTTGATGTGCTCTACCAGGTAAGCTAAAATAGAAATACTCAGTATATGTATGGAGAATGACTAAACCAAAAAGCCTACTCAGTCTCTAGTCAAGCTGCACTGACAACGGCTGTGTGGCATCTTCATCAATACCACCACAAGAACTTTCTCCACTTTCTTCCTCCCCCTTTTTCAGATTGCTTCTCTCACATTTTGTCTCTCATACCTCTGCTGCTTTTTCCCAGTTTGATTTTTCTGTACCATTTACTCTGCAGCACAACTCATTCCTTTTCCAAAAGACTTTTATACTTTTGACAACATCAAAATTAGGTAAATGCGTATCTAGAAGTCAAGACCAGTCATAGTTTCAGCTAAATGAAGGCCCAAAGGCCACCATGAATACTCCAGCTACAAAAAATCAGCATATTTTTATATCAGCTAATTTAAGAATGTATTTTAAAACCTGTAAATAGTATTTGGAGTATCTCCTGGTAAGTATTTTGCTCCCCGCTACTGTTTTGTGGAACACCCTTCCATCCTCCCCGGAAATAGGTGAAAAGAAGGGGCATAATCTTCCATTTCCTCCAGATCCTTAAGGAAGACATGCGTGTAGTACATATACACACACGTGTATCTGTGATCCCACACAGGACACAGTAAGGCTGACTCTTTGAGTGCTGCATACAAAGTGAAGCAACTGGGGAGCAGGAGGTGTACGGAAGGTCATGTCAGCTTTCTTCAGCTGCCATCGTGTTAAGGAATTTCTTATTACTACAAGAAATGCCAAGGTCCAGACTGAAAACCAATGCGTATTTCATGGTTTCCCTCCCCAAAATTCTCAGAAAGATGTCTTCTCATCAAACCTCTCATCATGATCTGATTTCAGGACAGGCTGAATCTCACCCATCTCTGCAGCCAAATGCAATAAATACGATAATGTATTAATGCCTTTAAACTATTATTGCTCATTAATTATATTGCATAAAAAGTAGATCAGTTTTCATTTTAACACATGGCTGCAGTGACATAATATACTGAGGAGGGAATAAAGAATCAGCTGTATCTTTCCTTTCTGTAAAGATCTCCCTTCTTGGAATACTCTCAAGTGGAAAATAAATCCTACCACTAACAAGCTCTAAGAATAGTTTCCTATAATAAATGGCAGAAACTGACTTGGAACATTACGATAACCTCATAGAAACTTGTGGGAATCACTGAAATGACTCACTGATATGCTCCAGTACTAAAAAAAGACCTACCGTAAAATTTACATATGTATATGCTTCATTATTCATGTATATAGCCAATACATGTATCGATAACCTTTTTTGTTGATCCATGAAGGCATCTTGCACAGAAAGCGTTAATTGAAACTCATACAACAATACAAGAAAGGAGTGATTTCTCTACTTTCAATTTTTTCTCGAGCAGAGGAGTATTTTTACCTATTTCATAGTAATATTTTCTTTTGGAACATTTACCTGTAAGGAGCTTCAACAGTATGTTTTATCAATGAGGTATTATAAATTTAAATGTTTTCAGACAGACCTCAGAAGTTTTCAAAACTAGCAGCAGGTATAATAGAAATCCATGTAACACTCCTATACATAAACATCTACAAAAAGTGACATTTAAAAGGGGGTTGCTTATTGTAGTATAAAAGAGATATCTGAAGTCTGCCCAATTCCAAAGCATACTCCCCCTCCCCTTATTTTTACATTCACAATTAACACCTTTTCTATGCAAATGCAGAATGTCTTTATGGAAAGTTAGAAACATTACAGAAATGAGAAGCTACTTTTATCGAGTAACTATGAAAAACTTCCCAGACACAAATCACTAGAAGAAAAAATGTAAAACTTCCCCCGGTGAGAACCTGATTTCTAATACGTAAGTATCCAACCCTACTCAAACCTTCAGATCTCCTTACACGTATTTTAGAAGACAATAGCAGGCAAGGAGAAGGTTATTTTAAAATAAATAAATTGCTGCTTCCATGCACTCTAGTTCTTCACATTTTAATTTTCCAAATAGTAATTTCTTATTTGTTACCTTTGGCTTCTTTCCAAATAGCCACAGCTTTCCTTTAGCCTTGCCCACTGTAGTTTTTGAATCAATTCTCATTCCTTCCTGCTTTGGTGTACTGATGGTTCCGTCAGAGATAGTTCTGTAAATATTCTGACTGTAATCTTCAAATGGAAAATCTCCAGGAGGTTCAAAACCGGATTTGAAGCAGTCTATCACTAGTTGAGAGTCCTAAACACAGGACATTAAGGAGTTTAAAAAGCAAAACAAGCAAACCCATCAAGAACCAGAGAAAAAAAAACACTGGTACATAAATTTTCCCTTTAATTGCAGAGATACACAGATAGGAAAGTGATGAGAAGCTCAAAATGCATACTTTTGGATAGATCAAGTTAACGGCTTTTTTCTCAGCAGTGTAAATCAAAGCATACCTTGCTATTCAGAATCCAGCACATACTCCCCAAGGGTTATCACAAATTTAAAACAGGACTTACTTTAGGGCCAAACTACTACTCCACCTTCTAATCCTTCAACCTTAGCAGTGAAATGAACATAACACTAAGAAACTAGATGTAGTAAGATATATTAGGGAAGAACTCGTATTAGAAGGAATAAGAAAGGAGTGCCAACAGCTGCAACCAAACAGGACATGGAATCATACTTTGTTAACTGAACACCCTTTGTACCTTTTAATGCTACATACTGGAGAAAATACCAACCACATTGGTATTGTAGGATGTTTCAGGATAACCAAAACCCCACACAGTGAGAAAGTGTCCAAGATCTTCAGATCACAAGCAAGCAATAAAGCAGGAAGAGAACAGACAACAAAAGTGGAAATGACCATTTAGACTAAAACCGAAGTCACAACACTTTTCAAGCAGACAAATATCTGACGACAAAGACAAGTGTATGGGGTAAGTTCATCCTTCCCCTCTCCACAGCTTCCCTATCGGTTCACTTGGTCGTGCACATTTAAAAATTTGCTCAATTCTACTTACTCTATGTTCATCAACTGATTTTGCTGCAAGGATCATCCCTTCTAAACATTTAGAGATAATTGGAATAACCTTGCGCTCAGAGTCAGCAAAGCCTTTGTAACATTCACTAAGTTTAATAGTCCTCCTTTCATCCATTTCTTGAAGTTGCTGTAAAAACAAAGATAAAATAAGGCTTTTATTTGCAGGTATTTTTCCCTCAATCCTGATATATGCAGTTACTGTGGTCACCAGTGTGGTACAGAATTTCTGTGCTTTCCCAGTACTTTTATTTGCTTAACAAAACAGAACTTAATTAAGTTAAAAAATCAAGTCCTTTCAGACATAAACTTAAGATGCCCAGAACAGTAATTATGATGAGTTGATACTCTTTGATTTTTAAAAATGATGTAAATGACCAGACTTTCTTTTCCTTACTCTTTTTTTAAATCATGTGTACAGTGTCTACAGCCACCTATTTAGTTTAAAATATTTGTTTCATGCAAAAATGAAAACAATAAAGAAATTCTACACTCTTCACTCTCTCCTAGTTCCAAAATAATTTCTCTCTAGTGATAAATATCTCCATCCTGCTTTTATTTTTATACTTTTCAATAAATACCAATTCTTTAAAAACTAGGAAAAAATAGTGATATTAAAATTATATGCTGTTTAGACATGCTCTCTGATTTGAAATACAAACCATTTCCTTTAGAAGTGTGCAAGAAAATAAAGAAAAGAATACCATTACATAAAATTTGTAGTAAAAGTCTACTGGAACACAACAAAAAGAACAAATTAAAGAGAAATACTATTAAGATAATAGCTCTGGATCCTTCACTAATTGGAGGTGGAAAAAAGCAACCAACCAACCAAAAAAAAACCCCAAAGAAAACAAACAACAGTAGTACATACATCAACAGGTTATCAAAAACAGGATAAGAAGTTGGATCTTTCCTGTATCTACTCTATCAAAGGCAGCTGTCTCAAACAGCATCCAATTTCAAAGCAACAATCTAGTCATGCTAAATCCCTCTCCCAAGGTTTTCCCATAGCAAGTAACCAAATATCTGCAAGGAAATAAAAATGTTGGTCCCTAGAGAAAGTAGGACTAGCGCTTTCCGCTCTTACTGGATATTTCAAAAACCAGAAGTAATATCTTACAATGATAATGGATTTTAACCCTAGAGAAATAAAAGCAATAAACCAAAACTCTGGTCCAAGCTACAAACAGAGATGACTGAAATGTTCCCCCTGGGATTTGACTGCAATTCCCCCATCAGTGTGCTAATGTCAGACATACTGTAGTGCGGCTTAACCATTACAAAAGTTGAAAATTCTTTAATAAGCCAAAGTGATTTTGTCCTGTGAATCCTACACCTTCTAAGAAGTATTTTTTTTTAAAATATGAACTCCTTTGTGCTTCTGGAAAATACCAAGCATTCTTAAAGTTGGCATGCTTTCAAATAAAGCCAGTATTTTTATATTCCATTTCCTCACTCCATGTCTCTGAATCAGTTTCTACAGTCACAGTATTCTCCCAAACAGCTGAAAGTACGTGCCAATACATTTCTGAACTCTCCCTCACTTGACATCCCCCAATTGCTTTACTTTACACTAGTTTTGCAAAGTCTCTTTGTTTTTGAAAGAATCTTAAAAAACCCCACAACTTAATAATTACATGAAGCACCTCAAAAAATCCCCTTTTTAGATGCAAAATGTAGATGCAATATTGATGAAGCAATGACTAATTGGGGTGGGGGGAAGTACTTCTGCCTCCGATCCACCCATTTTACACCCGCACACGATACACACTGAACTACCTAGTCACCATTAACTATATGATTCCCTTCATCTCTGCAAAGCATTCACACGCACAAATACCAAGAACTAGCAATCAAACCTTATTAGGATGATTGTTTTAAATGTTTGCTCTCACCAATGTCTCAAGTGTTCATTTTGCCATACCTCTTCAGCAATATTTAAACAAAGAGTCTATAAAATATAAAATCTTGACAGAAGATGCAACAGAATATTTTCATTACAATTCTAAGCACGATTACTGTAAGTCTCATGCTAAAACACAGGTTGTATCAAGATTATGCTAATTCCTTGATAAAATTATCCACTAAAATCCCCAAAATAAAGTTTTACATTTTAAAATCTAATTCTCCCTTAGATTATCAGACATGCTTTCTGTGTTAAATAATTTACCTTATAAATCTGAGGAATTACAATGTAGTAGTGTTTGTGCTGTTCCCCATTAAAATTCTGTAGTTGTGCAGCGTATTCATTTTTGTTTTCATCAGCCATATGTGTGCGCAGGTTTAACTGTTGCTTGGCCTAGTAGGAAAGTATTACCAGATCAAACATGTCTTGGGCTTTTCAATGACATACAGCATTATTTTAATTTATTTTATCAGCTATGCAAAAAATACTAATCACAAGTCATCAAAACTGACATCCTTATAATTGAACTAAATAGAATGTGAGACTTCATGTATACTGACAGTCTACAGACCTAACTGGTTATATACAGAGCAATGATCACTACATCTCCCTTAGCCACAGCACTAAAATGCACATCCTAAAAAGCACAGAGGTGACAACGCGTGTACCGCAAGATACCAAATACCTGTAAGTCTGCCTCTTTAAGGAAGATTGTCATCATCTCAACAGCATTGTCTTGAGGCTAATGAAGCACACTCCCTCTCTGTGCTGTCTTATATTTTGCTGTAACTTCGATTTTGTACAAAATAAACAAGCATATTTTATACACTCAAATAATGTTGTTCCAGTACTGATGATAAACATGCAAATAAAATACTTTTTGTAATAAAGAGAGAGTGAAGAAAGAAATGGCACTGCTCTTACCTTCTCAACATCAGCCTTTGTCGCATTAGTGTCGTTGTCCAGTCTTTCGTAGCTTTGCTGTGCCTTCTCTGCCTCTCTGCATTCTCTCTCAAATTTCTTTTTGCTCTACAAAAGCCACAAACTTACTGCTTCAACAGTTACTATCTCCTTTTGGTTTTGTATAGTAATTTTGAATTCTAAATAGGACAGCTTCCATTTAAATATCTCAAATTCACTAAGTACCTGTAAGTAAATACACTGTTCTCACAGCAACCAAGTCTCCAAAAATTTTCAACTTTTCTATTTAAAACTTATTTCCTTGAAGTACCAGCAAGGAAGCAACTGTAATTATGGTATAAAATATCAGATAATCAAAACACAAAATAACCTATTGCAAAGATCCACAGTTAATTATAAACAGACAAGTCCACTTTCTAGCCTGACTTCAATAACCTAAATACAAGTTAAGGGTCAGAAAGCTTAAACCTGGGCTTGTATGAATATGAATTTCAAGTTCCCTTCTTCAGTGATCAATTTTAATTGATTAAATTCAACTAAATTATTTTGAAGGTAGTCTGAAGAATTTATCTACATTACAAGATCCTAACATATCCATCCATTATCATCAGTATTTACGTCAACTGGCGTAGCCGTAAGCAGCAGACAGAAGCATTCAATGTACTTGACATTCAATATATCTGGCTGTTGTCAAGACAACTGCTGTAGGAAAAGCCGCTGCAGCTCAAGAATGGAGTATCTCTAGAGACAAACTGACAACAGAGATTATGCGAGCACTGCTCTCCTGCTTCAGTGCAAAGTCAAGCAACTGAGGTTGATGTGTCCCTTGAAGGCTGTATGCCTTTAAAAGACTGACTTTGCACTCAAGTAAATACAGGGCATTTACTTGATTGAGGTGAACTCTGGGAACTATCTTGGTGAAGGGTGACACCATCTAAAACTACCACATCCACTTCTACTCTGATACTCTGACCATGACTTAAACTCTTTGACGTGACACTGAAGTAAGACATTGCTTATCTGGGTCCACAACAACAAAATAGAAATTCACCTCTCTTGTATTCTTCACAATAATCTGGATCAAAGATACAATAAATTTCTAAGACACAAAACAAGCAGAATATCAGAATGCATCTTGAACACACTTGGTTGAATTTTATATTTTCTCATCTTTAAGAGCATGTCTCTCAAGAAAAAGGATCTTATAATATGTTCTAGAGACATGAGCTTCCTGCATTTCTCTGTTAAAAAGTAATTCTACCTCCTGAAAGTATAATAGTCTATAGTGGTAGTCTTGAATAGATGTCTTTTAACAAGCCCTCAAATTCAAGTCAAATACAGTGACTTAAGATGTCATCTTCATATAAATAAACTGTCATTAATTACTCTCTAAAGAAAAAGTAGCCCACAGAGAAGCAACCAAAGAAATCTGTACCCATGTTAAAACCAGATTCCTTTATGCTGGACAAAAGCCAAGGCTTCAGTCAAACATATACACAGAAGCTGTTTACAGGAGATGGTTTTTAAACCAGGTACTACAAATACATTGAACTGTATTTTGAACATTACTAAGTCTGATTTGGACATTCAGTAATAAAGCTAAACATTAAAGTCTAAGCAAGACAGATGACAACAGTTCCATTTACAGACTGTATTATTATAAATTTGACAGGAAAAAAACCAAAACAAAACACAAACTCACATTATCCATCTGTTTCCAGCACATGTCCAGATACTGTTGAGCCTTTCGCCCTTCCTGAAGATGCTAAAAATACCACAAAAAAGTTTAATTTACATATCTTTTTAGTACCACTACCATTAGTTAGTCCCTGCTCTAGAAGACACACTGTGATGTGCAGTATCTCCCACAAGTTACCAGTTCTCTTTGGAAAACATCACTAACCATGTAAGAACAGTACCACGGATGAGAATTACACTAGCAAAAAAGTTACTAGTGAGCACTATCTCCCAAGATCTTAATTTTTAGGTTTAACAACTCTAGTAAATCAGTACATAAAAATACAGAATAACTTTAAGTACGCTTTATAAATACGTCTTACAAAACCTACTTATTGCCAAATTCAATAAATTGGGTAAACAAATGTACCAATTTGTTAAAAAGACATATCTGTTTTGATATCCTACTGTCAAATCAAAATATAGAAATTACCATTTTTCTCTCAGTTTTTAGATCATGAGAGTATCTCATCAATTCTCCATACACTCTGTGTCCCATTTCTTCTGCAACTACTTCTCGTTGTCCTGCATAGTCATTCAACTCATTAAGGATGTTAAAAAAGGCAACACACGAAGTAAACCTGACAGAAAGCACACACGCACAAACATATATACACAAAAAGTGAGACAGTTTTTTTAAATGGACTTCTAGTATAGTCTGTACTCCTGATTAAATAAAAAAAATAATTCACACATATTTTACAATAAACCTTATCTTAATGCTAACTGAATTACAGTAGAAATGCAAGTTGGGAAAGCCTACATTAAGCCTAGCATGTACTATATGTTGCAATGTCTCTTCAAATACATTTTATAAGAATATGGATTTTTGTGGACGGAAAAGAAAGAAGAGTAATACTACCTGGAAAGCCCTGTAGTATAGTGGTATCTCCTAAGCTGCCAACTGAGAGGCCTGAGCTTTAGAACGGATACATACGTCCCTAGGCCCGGAGGCTGAACTTGCTGCAGAGATGATGTGCTTGGTAGTCTTGAGGGTGGAACATGCCAATCATACCACTCATATGCATCCCGATGGATGATCTACAGATCATACAAGTTTGCTATCAGCTCTGGAGACAGCTGCCTGTTTGCCTGCCCACCTCTTGGCTGGAAGTAAGGTGCCACTATGGCTGGCACTAAAAAGGGGGGAAGAGGAGGGGCAAAGGGTAGAAAGTGTGTGTGGAAGGGAAGAAAGAAAAACAAAACAAACAGGCACCACATTAAAATGTACATCTTTCTCTCTTTTAACTGTGGAATACTGCCATCTCCATAGGCTTGGCTCTGGAGAATTCCAGAAAGGTTCACATGCCACCCTAGCACTAGAAATCCCATCCCCTGTGGTCCAGGATCTTTACATAGTTGAAAGAGCTAGAGGAAACCCTAGTGTGAGTTCTCAGGCACTCTGCACAGCATGTGCTCTGGCTGCCACCTGAAACTTCCCCATTTTCTTTCCTTCGTAAGTGTTATCCTTAAAGAAAAAAAGAATGGTATTTTTCTAAATAAATTTTAAAATTACTACGGACATGGACAGCAAAGCAAGCACCTCTCTGATAAATAATCATAAAGTTGCTTAGCATAAATTGCTCCTCCACAGATAGACATTCACTTATTTTGTCTCCGGAGTCAATGCAAGCCTGCAGTTTAAGAGCTCTTCTGCCAAAAAATATGGCAGTTTTGCATACACTCAAGTCTCAGTATACAAAGGTATAGTTACAGTGCCATATATATACACTGAAAAACTCTACTAAAGTAAGCAAAAAAAACCAGCCTGAAGACACATAATTGCTTTTCTATAAAAAAATAATACTAGACTGTACATAGCATTCTAAACTTCTGCTTTCAAACTTTCACCTAGCTAAAGGTCGATTTGGCACAGAGCAAGTAAAACCTGCCATGTTCACTACTTTAAAATACTAACAGAAGTAAACTCGGGTTTCATGCTTAAGAATTACAGCAGAACCATACGAGCCAAGCACAATTCTTTTGTTGTGTTAGGATATTAAATAATTTATCTTAAATTAAAAAAAAAAAAAAAAAAAAATCTGTAAAAGGACAGAGCATACCATAGTCCTTGTTTCTTATACACAGAACTTGAAATGCACATTTTTACCTGGGTTCCTCATCTTTGGGTGAACGTTTAGGACAGTACTTCTTAACCAGATTTCTATTAAGGAAGAACAAAAAAAAAAAGCCATTTTAGAGTCTCTTTTGAGAAGACATACATATAGAAAACTGCAAGAACAAACTATTTATTTAAATGACTTCAAGAAACAAATCTATTCCCTGTCATCTTCTAAGGGTTGTTTAGATAACACAAGGCAGAAATCTATGGCATTTTCAAAGTTTTAAGTCACTTTGACCCAGAACAATGTATTTTAAGTATTTTAAAACCTCTACTGCACAATGACTAGACATAAAATAATGAGTGCTCTATTTAACATCCTTTTCACACATGCAAAACAATCTTTCAGACAAGAAAAAAGCACATGTATGATCACTGTGTAACATACAGATAGCACAGACTGTATGCTGTAGCCATAAGCACAAAGCTCCGTGCCTGAATTAAGCTCTGAGTGTACATTCTGGTCAAAGGTTTTAACCACAGCATCTCCAAATCTTCAGAAAGGATATTTCCAGAAGAGAAGAGGCAACATCTCTTTTTTTCAGAAAAGATGTTAACACTTTGCCCTACCACTAGTGTTGTAAATATCAGGATTTTAGAAACCAAGAAAGTATCTAAAGGACAATCCATGGGACCAGCACTTTACACAGTTCCACAGTCCAATTTTCAAGAACAGTGATATGAACTGATTTGCTTACCATACAATGCAGAAATAGCACTTGAAGAAACAAACCAACCACATCACATATTCTACACTAGAGCATAAATGCCACAGGCATACACTGCTTACACAACTGCAAAATATTTGCAGGTACATGTATCGCTACAAACATCCCAAAGCCGGTGATGAACATGAAATGAAGCCACACAATTTTACAGACAGGAGAGATAAGAGGAGAAAATGTCCAGTGATTTTTTCAAATTCTTATCTTCCTGTATGTCAATCCTTGCTTTAAACTTCTGAGTACACATTTTTTCCAGCAAAGCATTCTGCCTTGACTTACAATGCTGTTTTTCTGACAGCAATGAGGTATTTTAAAATTCTTGACATTCTAAAGGATACATGTTGCCAGTCTTAAGCAAAAATAAAATTCCATAATTTCCTTCTCATTTTTAGCAGCCGGGTGTTCAAATCTTCAATTGGTTGCATTTTTTTATTCTAGCAGTTTTCAAAATTGTCAGTTTTTTCCATGAAAAAGAAAAATTGAAATTACAGTTCTTTTCCTTTATCTGTGAGAGTCTGTCATTTTACAGGAAATGAAGAATCCTTTTTTATGCAAAAGAAAAATAGGTAAAACATAGGATTTTTCTCAAATTGCTTACCTTTAACCTTTGTGCTTTTTGAGGTAAAAGAACTGAAACACCTCAGTTGCTGTGTATTTGTAAAAGCAGCAAACAGTATATAAAGTGATATCTACTACTTAAATTAAATAGACCAGTATTTAAATACCAATACCACCCTCACAAAAATTCCCATATTTCCCAAACATTAGAACCACTTCATCAAAATGTTGTTAGTAATGTTTAAACCATGGACCAGACTGTCTGTTAGGGTATCTCATCTCAACTATCAAAGTAATATTTTTAAATGTGAATTAACGTCTTAGCAGAAAATAATGCATGTCAGTTATTTGCTTTACCACCCACAAATAGAAGCAACACAACACTGGCATTTTATTCCCTGCAAATCTCTAAATAATCATACCTTCCATTTAAGAACAAAAAAAATGTACAACAAAACAAGTGCACACAACTGAATCATTTTCTTCAAGAGACAGCGAAGACTTCTTGAAGTGTGTTCAAGTGGACCTGGATTATGCAGAGAATGCTTCTACTCTTTAACTGGTATGAAATAGACTTAATTCAAACTTCTGTATTGTGTAAAGGGATGATATTTTGTAACGAAACTGTTTTACAAATCCACCCAAAGAAGAAATTAAGTACATAGTAAGGCAAACTTAGAGCTGCTTTAATATTTGTTTAATTGGCCTGTGGATAGAAGTCTTCCATTTGTCTGTCCAGTAGTAATTGAGACAATTGGCCGTTGACTTCTTAAACTAATTATTAATATAGCCCAAAACAGTTTCCCCCAAAGCAGCAAAGTGGACTATATAAAGCAATCTACACCCACAATGCTACAGAAAAAACAAGAGGAGGAGTAAGAGAAGATGCTATGAAACAAAAACTGTCATGCATGCTTTGTATCTTATTCCTACTCTGTTCCTGTGTAACTTTGGTTGGTACAAACTATGAACTACATTATCATTAAAACAAGGGTGCTAATCCTGCTTTCACTTAAAATAAACTTGTGCAATTTCTCAAATCAATTTATATGGAAGTCCTATTATCTCTGTGGTACAAGGGTACAAGTAGTGAGACTATGTTCAGTCATGAATTATATACCAAAATATGAGCAGGGTGTCGGCGTGGAAATAGCAATCTTAGATCCTTTGTCTCTTTCCATACCGCAGAGACTACAACCAGAAAGAATAAGCATGAGAAGACAGTCAAGTCCTTTTTACACCAATATGTACTAAGAAACAGAATAACCACTGACTTATTAAAAAGTATCCACAAATTTTACAAGAACTTTCTCACTGAAGTTAAAACAAGAATCTCTTTTCACCATCACTAGAATCCACTGCCTGTTGTAACATTCTACTTGGTAGGAATTAAATGCAGACATTTTGATTGGAAAACGCATAAACCCAAGGAAAAAAAGAATAATCTTCTTTACTAAATAACCTTCCCACATTTCATTCTCCTTTACATTTCTGCTTTGCTCCCCAGTGCTTATTAACAAATGAGAAACTCCTAAAACTCACCTTATTATTTTTCAGAAGGTGAAATGCATAACAAGCATACAATGCTGTAGCTAAGCAACCACACACGAGCCTTTTCAGGGGAAGATTTTCAAAGGTGTTAAAAATGAGAAAAGAAACCACTTACTAAAATACATACACTTTGAAGTGGCAGGAAAAAAGGGCCACAAATATAGATAATTTGCTAGCATGCTGATTTCTGTTTCAATTTTTTAGTACAACTGTTTACCATTTCTAGGAAGACAAAATTAATATGTAATCCTTTCTCCTAATAAAAGTCAGTTTCATTAGTCAATCTTGTCTACCTTAGGATCACAGGAACACGCAGTCTTGAAACACAGTGTGATCAGGATTTAAGGTTCAATAACAGTACAAGATACAATCATCAAAGTCAATAAAAATGAAATGACAAGCAAATGCATAATTTAAAGTAGAAAGAAAAAGCCAACGTTCATGTGAACAATGAAGCATAAATGGCTTTTCCAAGAAGTGAACATCAACACTTCAAAAAAACAGAGAAAGTATATTTTTGAAAAAATGCATGTTGACAAGCAGCTAATATGAGTGCGGATTCGAAGAGCGAAGCATTACTTCAAAGAGTAACCAGTTGACACTTTAAGGGGGCATAACATTCTTTAGCATTTTTATCTAAAAGTGTGTCTAATCCTCAGGTTCCAAATATGGATCTGGACTAGTTTAAAACAAAACTGCAGAAGTAATTGCAAACCATCAGAACGGAACCATGAATATATGCGAGAGGTTTGCTCTATACTTCCTTAGAACAGTATAGATCGATGACATTTTAATCCTCTCTGGAAATATAATTTAGACTACTTCTACCACACTCGTTCTTACCGATATCAGGAAACAGATTTCATACAGGACTAACCACATCCAACTGTGCTGCTCCTGTAATTCTACCAAACTCTCTTCTCAATGTAAATTGGTTTCAGGTCAACATCGGTGAGATAGCAGCTTGGACTATACTACCAGTTTTTAAGAGAAGTACCACCTCAGTCACCTAGCCAGAAGTTTCAAAAAGCACACCAGTTGTTAAAATAAAATTATTTATAGTCATATACATAAAGCATCTACATAAAATTTTATAAACATTTGGGTAAAAATTGTGTTTATCAACTCAAAACTAAGTTTTCTTCAGTCAATTAATATAGAACAAAAAGAACGGGAGCAGCAGCATCAATATGGTAAAATTCATATTAAGGTAGCAGCTCAGGTACTGTGGCATCTGCTTACACTAAACTTCTACGGCCTCTACATCATATTACAAACAAGCCAGCGAACAAACTTTGCAGTCTGCTTTCATAAGTGAATTAAAAAAATAATGCAGTAAGTACTTCAAGGTATTTCATATTTATACCCTAAGTAACAGTTTCAATAGGATTCCAACGGCTTCAGTGACTGCATAACAATATTATGGACTGGGTGAGAACAATGACAATGAACTGTATTTAGTAAGATGTCATTAGAAAAAATTTAAGTGAAGAAATGCATCTTAAGAAATTGTACCACGAAATTTGAGTTTACCAAGCTGAATATCCTTGGAACCACTAAGAACTTATATGCATTGGCTTGCAGAAACACCACTATGAAAAAAACCTGCCGCATCTATATTTGGATAATAATCAATAGTCTAAATCCTCATCTCCAAGCAAAGGAGGGGAGATTTGAGAAATGAACACCTATGATGATAACTTGTGTCCCCAACTTGACATTTGAGCTTACACCCATTTTAAATAATGTTTCCAAGATTCTGCATATAAAAATGTGGTAACTCAATTTAACTAGACATAGCCATCTATTCATATCATATTTTGAAAAAACCCCACTTACACACAATAGTACGCAGAATAAACATGAAAAATACATTTGCTCAGATTAAGACATCTCCAGAAATCACAACATACAAGTAAAGTAGTTCAAGAACAATCATCATTGTTTTCTTTAAACTGACAATAGAGACGCTGACAAAATTCAGAAATCTTATTCCGCATGGTAGTCTCATCTATAACTGCAGGTATAACTTGTATTACTGCCTAACATCACAAGAAGAGGAACTCCTCCTGTCTTCTCAAGTGTCATAATGCTTCAGACAGAACAAAAGGGAGTGAACCTCCAGAATTATTTTGTGTGCAATGATGTGGAAGTAAACAAAACAGACCTAAACCTCACCTTTTAAGCAACAATGCTGACCAAAAACAGCACCTGAGAATTCAACTGCAATCACAGCACAGTAATTTGACACATACTAAGTATATTTTTTTCCAATTATAAAATAAGAACAAACTAAGTAGTCATATAATTAAAATGAAATATGTTAATCTACAATGTATATTGCAATACGTTTGTCCTGATTCACATCCCTGTAATTCAGTAACAGCCTATAATAACCTTCACAATCCTTGGGGTGCCACAATACATTAGTTGAGACCTAAGCTACACAAACTCCAGCATTTTAATTTAAGCTATCTCAAAAAAATTAAATTATAGTTGCTTTTTTTTTCAGAACAAAGTATACTGCAGACAAAGACAAGTTCTCTAGATAGTTTTTTTTTTTTCGTCCACAGGCACTTGAGGATTCCTCAATAGTTTCAATTTTTCTTATACTTTTTCTCAGTGTTGAGAACTGCCTAACAAGTAAGAATATCAAGGAATGACTTGCAACCTAAAACCAGCATTTGGACAACATTGTCACAAGTTATAATTTCTGGAATTACTCAGCAACCATAAACTGCAATAACTGCACACGTTAGGAATATAGTGAGTTCAAACAGTTCCTCGTATGCTGTACATGCATCACTTGACTCCTAGAAGACTCCAAACAGTTGTTGTACCTGAGAAAGTCTCATCACTAAGTTGTGACAGTATATTAAAAAAAAAAAAAAAAAATCACAATGCAAAGATACACACAAAGTGAATGTGAATTTCTGCCAGGACACAGACTCTAATTTGTGAAATCTGTTATAAAAATTCATTCAAATTTTCATCCTTGGGATTAAGTCTATGAGAGTAAGATACATCAATCAACAGAATGTTCACGGTCCACACTGAAACCAAGACAGAAAAAACCCACCACCATACATCACTAGCATTATCTCCCTCAATGAAATTTTTTCGTGGTCTCCCATCCAAGTACTGAGAGTCACAGAACTACCAAGAGGTGACCACTCACCATACTTTTTATACATCTACTAAACAGGGGCATATAATAAACCTCAGTTATGAAGTTCATTATGAAGAGAACACTCAACACTTTTTCAGACTGTATTTTATTACAAACGGGAAAAACAATGATAAACTAGAAATTTCTATGAGAGATATTACTATCTATCTCACAAGCCACCTGCTGCCAACATTAAAATTCACCAGAACCATAGTCCATCCCCAAGATCTTCTCTCTCAGAACTTCTCAGAAGCAAGCTGAAGAACAGCTAACTCTTCTGGAGGTAAAAATCTTGTTTGATCTCCATCTCCCTTGGGGCCTCATGACAGTTTTACATGGCAAAAAACAGTGAGTGTCCTCAAGAACAATGATGGCTGAAATCAATTTTTTATCACACAACAGTTTACTACTAATAATTCTCCCCCAAGAAATACACAGGCAAGAATATCAAAGAGTAGCTTCATGAACTGGTCTACTGGCAGAAAATCACTCTCTCATGTGTGTGCTGTCCAGACCCTCATTGGCAGCAGGCAGGAAGTGCACCCATGCACTGTACAATCTGTGTGCAGCAAGGCCTGTGCTTCCCAAAACTGTCATATTTACTTGCAGGTGGACAGTCTGTCCAGTCATCTGACAGAAAGGGTACTCAACATAACTTTCATTTTTGAAAAACACTTTTAGGAAAATCAATAGTTCTACTCAAAAGAGTAAAACATTGAACATAGAAGATTTCCTATTTTTAGTCAAATCCTGAAATAATAATGTGGTCTCTCATCTTGCTAGCTGTGGAATGAACCTTTAAATATAATTTGTTCATACTATTTAAGGAAAAAATCTGAATAGACCCGTGCAAATAAAACACATTTCCATTTTTAAACAGAGAACTGAAAACAAATCACAACTGGGCTGTGAACTGGTGCCGTGCATGCTTCAAACTTTCCTTTACCTCCTGAAGTTCTTCTACGCCAGCTTTGGAAAAGTGGGATTTATTTCCTTCCTTTTAAGAAAAAAATTCCTTCAGTAAAGTAAGGGAGTATTATGTTAGGTGAATATACAAAACTAGATCAAAATAAACTGATAAATCAAAAAGAAAGTGAGCAGGCCTGACAGAGAAAGTCCATACCCTCAGGTGTAGCCTCGTTACTGCATTTATGAGGAAGGATTCCTCAACTCTGTATCTGGTGACACTCTAGTTTGCCAAGGATGAGATGATGGAAGACACCACAGCAGAGAAGTTGCTATCGGTTTCAGTCTGACAAGGGCGAGGCAGCAGCAGTTTCAGCTAAATTCCCACAGGAATTCAAGACAGCAAAGATTATGGTGAAGGTCAAGTTCACAGGAATGTATTAATTTTAAATCCTGTTGTTCCTCAAGCACAGTGTGTACGTTTTGATAAAAATCAATCCTACTTTATTCTGAAGAATGTGCTTCTCTGTCATATCATTGCTGCTACTCTTCTTATATGATCCCAGAGAGGAAATTCCTATTGGACCTAAAAGATGTTTCATTTGGCACCAACAGAAAGTAAACGAGAAGTAAGACAAAGGGCGGTTGGGTTACAGTCTCACCCAAAGGGACAAGACCAGCTACGGAAAGGGCGTGCTTTAAGGACAGGAAGATCTGCTGCTTTCTCAAGTTCTACTCAATGATTTCAATCAGATTTCTTAACACAACGTAGTGTAGCTCTTGACAATTCAACATGAGAAATTAATTAGTAGCAGAGGCTCAAAGCTGGATGAACAGACACATGAAAATGTAGGTATGGATAATGTACTTTGCAACTAATATGCTGATAGTGGAAAAATATTACTGTGGTTTTGTTTTGAACCTTAACATTTAAGTCTTACACCTTTTTAGTTCAAACATTTGAAGGGTGGATGGTAGGAGAGGGAGGGAAGAAGATAAAAACAAGCAAGTGAAAACCCAAAGATAATTTTCTGGTTTGGACTGATAAAGAACAACTTGTCTCGTGAAAAGAACTAGTGATCTAACTTACTCTGTAAATTAAAAATGGTCATTAATAACAACATTACATACCTGCCCACCATCTGATACAGTGATTTTAAGTAACTGTTAGTATTCTTTGAAAAAGAAAAAAATCCTTACCTCAGTTGCTTTGCATAGTTCTGCTCAATTTCTATCCTTTCTTTTACAAATTTTGCATATTTTTCCAAGAAGTCTATGCCCCACTGCGTATGCTTGTCCAAGTTATCAAACTGATCCTTTAAAAACAAAAGGAAACAAAAATACACAGAATTAGTTAAGAATCACAGCAGCACCAAAAACGACACATTATTTATGAGTTGTGCTGTGAGGAAATGCTAGCTACTTGGATAGAAGCCATTCACATCATAAATCAGTTGTGTGTGTGTGTGTGTGTATATATATACACACACACACCAGTCATATATCAGGACAGTAAGCTGTAAGTACAGGCACAGGCCTGTCTTTTTTTGTAAAAACACCTGTAAATACTTGCATTTTAAGTTGTACGTATTCTTTAATCACTTTCACAATGCAAATGTCTTTTTTTTTTCCCCCTGACAATCCTTTAATTCAAAGTGGATCTTTTCCACCAAGATAACGAAGACATAACCAAAGATCAGTGCTACTGAAATAAGAGACCATTCCACAGAAGGTATCTGTTTGGCAGTTTCAAAACACAAGAAGCTGAAATTTCATTAGATACAAAAAATTACTTACACTCTTATGATTATGCACTGAAAGAATATAAATTACAGCTGCATAACTAAGTTGGGTGTACCCTGCAGAGAAAATACATTTATTGAAGCAAATCTATATACACAGTTCATGATCAGCTCTAGCAAGGGATTCCAAAGACATCAAACCTGTCCTTAGCCATTAAGAAAGTTATAGCAAAGCAAAAGCACAAAACAAAGATGAGAAACAGCCAAAAATAAACCAAGCTTCCAAAACAAGTTGGGGTTTTTTAATACATTAAATCAACTTCAAAAGCAATCTTTCACTGTATACCGTACTGATCACTAAGTGGAGGATACACTAATTAGGACAAATTGAAAAGTCAAAAAACAAGGATAAGTATGGGGTTCAGAGTTAGACAGGAATGAATAAAAGTACAAAATACAGCCTAGCAAATAATATATATAATATATATTTTTAGTCTAGAACATATTTGTATTCTATGCTGAAAATCTGCTAGAGTGGAAAAATCAAGGATTTTCAGCTTATGGCAGCATTTACAGTAAATTTTTCTTAACAGTTACTTAACAGTAAACCAAAACGACAAGCAACTGCAACATCAAAGTCTGTGTCCTGTATATGCTGAATTAAACTATACTTCACGGTAAATTTAAAAAACAACAAGTAGAAAAAGAAAAAAAGCTAAAGGAAGAATTTAAAGGCAAAGTTTATTTAACTTACACAAAAAACTGTGACAGGTATTTATCAGAAGCTGTGTCTTGCAGATTCAGTAACTTGCCTGGACCTAATTATGTCAACTTTAGTATTAGCAATTTAAGTTCAATTTCAACATGCACTAGGATGTTTGGAAGTTAAATGTAAAAATGTCATAAAATGCTGCAGGACTTAAGACTCAAGGAGAAGGTATTCACTAAAAGAGATACCAAGACAACACAACTATATACAACCAATAAGAATACTGAAAAAGAACATAGAGGGATTAAGGCTGCTCTCAAATCTTACCTTGCAGGTCTCAGTATATCCTACACCATGGACTAACAACCATGGCCGCTAGTGCCTTGAACACTTCAATCCAATGGCATGCAAGTCCTGCCAGCCAAAAGTACCCATCCTGTTCCATTATCAGCCACATGCTTCTGCCTCTGCATCACTCCCTCCACCAAGAAAACAACCACTTTCCCTGATCTGTTTCACCAGAGAACTGTAAGAACAGCCAAGAGACAGAAAAGGGACTAAAGACAAGATTTTAATATATTTGGGAAACCATGGCCTGTATTGCATATTGTTCTGATGCACCCACTTTACACCCACTGGACATTTCCACACTAAGTACCTCTTGTCAAATAAAGTGACCTTCCTGCTATTGTTTTTAGAAAAGTTGCATATGCATTGTTTGAGTGTGGAAAGAGGGAGATGATTATCATGCTGTTGCAGTGGTCAAGCCACTGTTGCATATCTGCATAAAATACGTCATCAATCTCAAGAAGCCTTTCCTTTCTATATTCCACTCATTTTTGTAATTACTCTGGTAACATCAACCTGGCATCCAAAATAAGTTTCCAAAAGGTGCTTCTGGCATGGAGCCAACATCCAATACCATTAAGAAGAACTGACTTCCTTAAGCACACAGCAGAACAAAGCCTTTGCTGTCCTACTTAGGCTCTAGTCCACAAAGCTCTCATTTGCTGCTAAAGTTTCATTAGCATTACGGAACACCACATCACTTATGTTTCCAAACATGTAACCAGAGAGGATGACTTTCCAAATATTTTGTTCAAACAAAAAAGGACTCTACGGCTCAAAATTATTTCTCTGCTACTAACATGAAACTGCAATGGAAAAAAGTGAGTACATTTGACATGCTATTCTCCCCTCATGCTTTACTCAAAGTATTTCATCACTGATCAAGTAAGTGCCAAAAACTCTTCCCTTCCTCAACTCCTTCAATTTGATCCATTGATACATTGACACACAGTATGCTCTGTGCAAAGCTTTGTAGGATTATCCCATAGCCCCTCAAGGGATGAAAAAATTCATTCCCTCCCTGTATGAGGAACATGCATAGAACAACCTCAATGGAGTAAATCCCATACAATAAAAAAATTAAAACTCATTAGCTATCCTCACCACTCTGCAAATCTTTACATTAGTCCAGCTCCTCCACCATTACTGACATCTATGAAAGTATTCATGGATATATTAACAACCTCCTAGATAAGGAACAGCAATCCTAAATTAGTGGGCCATTAGTCCACACTTACTGGAATTAAGAAAAACCAGTAGTAGTATGTTTCCACATTTTTGAAGAGCAAGACAGCTTCATGTCAAGACTGTTCACTGCCATTTTTTGGTCAGCAATTATATTATGTACTATCTTAGAGTGAAGCATACAGTATGGAGGATAAAAAACCCCAACACTTTCAAGAATTACCAAAGCATTTTTTGAAAACTGGCTTATGTATAACCAAAGTTGGATGCCTAAAAAAAAAAAAAAATCTACAGATAATTTGTAGTTTTGTATTAAAAATAAAACCACCATAATAGACATTCACATAAGCACTGATTCCTTGGATTATACTGGAACCTACTGTTGTCTCTTAATTTCTCTGTAGTCACGTATGCACTGTAGAACAGAGCTCTCCATTAACAAATAAAGAAAATATATTAAGCAAACACACCAGCTCCACAGTATGTCAAATTCCCTATAAATAATAAACCAGTGAATGGAAGCCTGCAGTCACAACAATCACCTCAGTCTGATCAATAATGACACCGAGATAAATGAACAAGAGATAAAGGCAACATCAATAAAAGGAATGGTCTTTCAGAAAGGCTTCTAGAAGCGAGTCACAAATTTACTCCTGGTCCTTTCAACTTCTCCCCAGAAGCATCCATGTTTGAGCTCTGGGCCTTGATTAAGCAAAAAGTTCCCTTTTCATCCAGCAACACAAGCAGAAAGTCTTCCCCACTGCTACAAAGGAAATCAAATTAATGCACTGAGATATAAGCCAAGACAAGCAATATCTTGACTGGGAAAAAAAAAATAGTTCCCAAAACCCAGGCAATACTGTACAGAGGAGAAAATGGACCAAGTAATTGGAATAAAATTTAAGCCTGAAATTTCAAAATAAATATATCATTGTATTAATTTGGCTAGTTCCTTTAGAAGAAATGTGAAAACTGCATTAATTAAAGATCATCAAAAAGCAATTAAAAAAAAAAGAGCACATCCTACAATATCTGGCTGTCTACTACCTTGATAGCAAAGTATGTTATCAACAATGTTCCAAGGCAAATATATATTACTGTTTGTCTAGTAACTCCCCATACCTCTTAGCAGCTGAGCAGGCAATTTCTGAAAAAAAATTCATTAAAACTGCAGCTGACTATTATTAAACTGATTAATCTCAGCTGAGGGATGGTGGCCCTAAGTAGAAACCGCCCACTCAAAAGCTGGAATGTAGTTCAAAGTTTCTACATTATAAACAAACAAATCTCACACTTCACTAAAAGTTTGTAATAAGTCAGTACACACTATTCCAAAATAAATGTTAACTCCCTAAATTCTACTTCCAGATTATTTACTGGAACCACAAATCAATGTTACAAATATTCAGGTATAGCATTCTAAACTTATCATGTTTTTGCAGCTACCAGGAAGCTTTACGATAATAGCAGCTGAAGCATCAAAGTATGGAGCCAAGCTGAATCAAATCTGCAAAGACAAAACAGCCTTTTCTGAGTTAAATTCAAGATTTGCTCTCTCCCTTCTCAGGGACACCTGTTTTTTCCTCCAAACGCGCCTCAAGAACCAATAAAAACATGGAGGACATATCCAGGGGGATGAGCATGGAGGGAATGCTACAGCATAAATACCAAACCCTTAGCCTTCCTAAAGCTATCAATAGCTGGGCCACACACTGTTTTCTATGGGAGTTTCAAAGAAAAAGCATTAAAACCACACTGAGATTTTTAAACGGTTCATTTCCCATCTTTCATCAACTTTGGAAAGCATTTCTGCTTGCATTAAAAGCTAGAATTGTGGTATCAAATTCTGTTAAAAAAATTTCAATTTTATCAAATGATTCCTTTACAATAAGCTGTAGCTTACTGCATGAGCATTGAATTGCTGATTAGTCTCCATTTCGCTGATCTCCAGACCACACAGTTGAAAGCCTTAAGAATCATATTAAACATAGAGCTATGTAAACTTAAAAGTTTAAGCAACCTATCTCAATTAATTACTGTAATTAATTAAATTTGCAATATCTTTAAAACACCTTATTAACTAAAACATTTTATTTGAAATCAGGACTCTTCTCATTAATTATACTACCATCATTTTACTCTTTTGACTCAGTTGTACATCATTATTTCCATACTTTTATCTCACCACCATTTTAATCTGCAGTTACCCAAGTTATCTTATTTGCCCTTCTGAAGCACTGGCACAAGATTAGTTTTGGGTTTTTTCCTCCAACTCTTTGTTCTCTAGGCTGTACAGCTTTGTCAGTCTAAAATTCCAATTCAGTGAATGGGA